GGATTAACTATGGAATGAAAATGTAGAAAGTGGGGGTTTAAAGGACTATAGACTACTGAAAAAAGCTAAGTTTCATTGAATTCTTAATTTTAAATTGGAAAAATTATTATTTTTTTAACTGAACGTCATTCTCGTAGATTATTTTTCAAGCAAAAATTTGTAAATGACTAAAGTGTTTTTTATGATCTAATATTTATATGCTTGCTTAGTTTTTTCCCTAAGAGTTCAATATTTGCTCTAAATGTAATTTGATTTTTTATTAAATTGTATTAAATGAACGACAACCCCTCTTCGTAGCATTCAAGAGTTTTTTTAACTTAATTATATTTAAATTTCGAAGAATGTCAAGATATCGCAAAATTTGTGCTAGAGACGTGCCAGGTAAAGGTTTAATCGAAGTTCGGAATACATGGCCTAACAGCTAGTATGCTGATCTGAGATTTGTAAAAAAACAACATGGTTCTAGTGCTGACTATTTTGGGATTCTGGCTCTCTTCGTAACTTAAATAATGTTAAAACATTTGTTTCATTAAAAATCTAAAAAAAAAAATTAATAAAACCAGTGCTCGTTTAGGGAACCTTTATTTTTATAAAAAATTCTCTTTAACTTTAAATTTTCTAAGTAAGTTTCATTGAATTCTTAATTTCAAATTGAAAAAGTTATTGCTTTTTTAATTGAAGTTCATTCTCGGAGAATATTTTTTAAACAAAAATTTGTAAATAACTAAAGTGTTTTTGATGGTCTAATATTTATTTGTTTGCTTTGTTTCTTCCCTAAGAGTTCAGTATTTGCCTTAAATGTAGTTTGATTTTTTATTAAATTATATTAAATGAACGACATCCCCTTTTGTAGCATTCAAGAGTTTTTTTAACTTAATTATATTTAAATTTCGAAGAATGTCAAGATATCGCAAAATTTGTGCTAGAGACGTGCCAGGTAAAGGTTTAATCGAAGTTCGGAATACATGGCCTAACAGCTAGTATGCTGATCTGAGATTTGTAAAAAACAACATGGTTCTAGTGCTGACTATTTTGGGATTCTGGCTCTCTTCGTAACTTAAATAAAGTTAAAACATTTGTTTCATGAAAAATCTAAAAAAAAAAATAATAAAACCAGTGCTCGTTTTGGGTACCTTTATTTTTATAAAAACTTGTCTTTAACTTTAAATTTTCTTAGTAAGGAAGATAAATTCCATTTTTTTTATCGGACGTTTTCAATAGACCCCAATTTTTTTTCTAAGAAGAAAAATGTTTAGATTAAATATATTGTTATCCAAAGGAGATACAAGACATCGCAAAACTTGCTTTAGAGACGTGCCAGGTAAAGGTTTAATTGGAGTTCGGGATGCATGGCGTAACAGCTAGTACTCTGATCTTTGATTTGTAAAAAACAACATGGTTCTAATGCTATTGGTTTTGGGATTCTTGTTATTTCCATACCTTATTGAACATTAAGATAATAGTTTAGAGAAAAGTTTTAGATATTTTTACCAATTTAAATTTTTATAAAATACATTAAAATTTTTATTCGTATATTTTTCTCCTGATGTTTTTTATTTATATAATGAACAATCATTTCTTGATTTGTAGATTTAAATTAAGAATCTTAATACATTAAAATTTTTAATTTTCATGCTGCAGCAAGTCCCATTGCTTTAAAGCAACTCCTGGCGAGCGATTGCCTGGATTAACACAAAAGTAGTGCAAGTCAAAAATAGTATTATGGAATGAAAATGTAGAAAGTGGGGGTTTAAAGAACTATATTCTACTGAAAAAAAGCTAAGTTTCTTTGAATTCTTAATTTTAAATTGGAAAAGTTATTATTTTTTAAACTGAAGGTCATTCTCGAAGATTATTTTATAAGCAAAAATTTGTAAATAACTAAAGTGTTTTTGATGATCTAATATTTATTTGCTTGCTTAGTTTTTTCCCTAAGAGTTCAATATTTGCTCTAAATGTAGTTTGATTTTTTATTAAATTATATCAAATGAACGACATCCCCTTTTCGTAGCATTCAAAAGTTTTTTTAACTTAATTATATTTCGAAGAATGACAAGATATCGCAAAATTTGTACTAGAGACGTGCCAGGTAAAGGTTTAATCAAAGTTCGGAATACATGGCCTAACAGCTAGTATGCTGATCTGAGATTTGTAAAAAACAACATGGTTCTAGTGCTGACTATTTTGGGATTCTGTCTCTCTTCGTAACTTAAATAACGTTAAAACATTTGTTTCATGAAAAATCTAAAAAAAAGCAATAAAACCAGTGCTCGTATAGGGTACCTTTATTTTTATAAAAAATTCTCTTTAACTTTAAATTTTCTTAGTAAGTTTCATTGAATTCTTAATTTTATATTGAAAAAGTTATTACTTTTTTAACTGAAATTCATTCTCGGAGATTATTTTTTAAACAAAAATTTGTAAGCTGAAGATAAAAAGTGTGTTTTTCATGATCTAATATTTAGTTGCTTGCTTAGTTTTTTTCCCTAAGAAATTAGTAATTGCTTCTAATGTAGTTGAAATTTTTATTATATTCAACGAACGCATTCCCCTTTTTCTAGCATTCAAGACTTCTTTTTTTGTCTTAACTATATATAAATTTTAAAGAGATTCCAGATATCGCAAAATTTGTGCTAGAGACGTGCCAGGTAAAGGTTTAATCGAAGTTCGGAATACATGGCCTAACAGCTAGTATGCTGATCTGAGATTTGTAAAAAACAACATGGTTCTAGTGCAGTCTATTTTGGGATTCAGGCACTCTCCGTATCTTAAATAATAATAACTCACCCGTTTCAAAAAAAATTTACAAAAATATTTGCTTTAAATGTAGATAGTTTTTTACTAAATTATATTTAACATACACCTTTCCCTTTTAGTAGCATTCCAGAGTATCTTTTACTTAATTATATTTAAATTTCGAAGGGCTCTCTGATATCGCAAAATTTGTGCTAGAGACGTGCCAGGTAAAGGTTTAATCGAAGTTCGGAATACATGGCCTAATAGCTGGTATGCTGATCTGAGATTTGTAAAAAACAACATGTTTCTAGTGCTGACTGTTTTGGGATTCTGGCTCTCTTTGTAACTTAAATATCGTTAAAACATTTTTTTCATGAAAAATCTAATAAAAAAAATAATAAAACCATTGCTCGTTTTGGGTACCTTTATTTTTATAATAACTTGTCTTTAACTTTAAATTTTCTTAGTGACGAAGAAAAATTCCATTTTTTTTATCGGACATTTTCAAGAGACCCCAATTTTTTTTCTAAGAAGAAAAATGTTTAGATTAAATATATTGTTATCCAAAAGAGATACAAGACCTCGCAAAACTTGCATTAGAGACGTGCCTGGTAAAGGTTTAAATGGAGTTCGGGATACATGGCCTAACAGCTAGTACTCTGATCTTTGATTTGTAAAAAACAACATGGTTCTAGTGCTGACTATTTTGGGATTCTGGCTCTCTTCGTAACTTAAATAATGTTAAAACATTTGTTTCATGAAAAATCTAAAAAAAAGTAATAAAACCAGTGCTCGTATAGGGTACCTTTATTTTTTATAAAAAATTCTCTTTAACTTTAAATTTTCTTAGTAACGAAGAAAAATTCCATTTTATTTATCGGACATTTTCAATAGACCTCAATTTTTTTTCTAAGAAGAAAAATCTTTAGATTAAAGATATTGATATCTAAAAGAGATACAAGACATCGCTAAATTTGCATTAGAGACGTGCCAAGTAAAGGTTTAATTGGGGTTCGGGATACTTGGCCTCACAGCTAGTACTCTGATCTTTGATTTGTAAAAAACAACATGGTTCTATTGCTGTTGGTTTGAGGATTATTGGTAGAGTTTTTTTTGTCTTAATTATATTTAAATTTCGTAGAATGTCAAGATATCGCAAAATTTGTGCTAGAGACGTGCCAGGTAAAGGTTTAATCGAAGTTCGGGATACATGGCCTAACAGCTAGTATGCTGTTCTTAGATTTGTAAAAAACGACATGGTTCTAGTGCGGCCTATTTTAAAATAGGCCAATTGGGATTCTGGTTCTCTCCGTATTTTGAATAACGGCAAACCCTTCGTTACGTTGAAGTTCGAAATAAAAAAATAATTAAAATTAGTGATTGCAAAGATTTTTTTTCAGTTTTTCGAAATATTTCTTTTTTGTTTTTCATTCTTTTCTAATGAATAAAAATTTCCATTTTTTAATTAGTCCTTTTCAATAGTCCCCTATTACTTTATTATTTTTTGAAAAGTGGAAAATCTTCAGTTTAAATATATTGCAAAGTGAAAGAGATACAAGACATCGCAAAATTTGAGCTAGAGACGTGCCAGGTGAAGGTTTAATCGGAGTTCGTGTTACACGGTTTAACTGCTAGTACTCTGATCTTTGATTTGTAGGTTACAACATGGTTCTAATGCTGTTCCTTTTGCGATTCTTGTCATCTCCATATCTTAATTAATCAAATCTGACATTAACAACAATATATCTACATCAAGATTTTATATTTAAGCATATATCATAATTTTTAAGTTTCACTGACAAAGAAGTATTCTGTATTAAAAGCGCTGATACAGAAAATGCATGAGCATTATACTTAGCAAAAAAGGAATATAATTTAAATTATATACTGTCAACTAAAGCCCTGGATTATCGAGTTTGATTATCGTCACTGGTTGGTCCTCGAACTTTGTAAATCTTTTGATTTAAACTAACTGCTGTCGCCGTATTGGCGACCGTGAGGAATCGCCATATTGGTGACTAATTTGAACGGCGAAGTATCATTACTTTTTGGTCTGTTATTTCTATTTTGCTTTTTCTAACTTTATTTGCCAGATACTTTTTCAAAATTAATAATTGCAGGTTGTTGCGAATTTTGATGTTATAAAATGTCAAATTTAGGCTTTAAATTATATCTTTTACCTTTATATTTACCTTTTGGAGACCGCAGTAAATGCGTTTTTCTGCATAAAATAAAATTATATCTGCATAGAATTAGCAGTGACAATGGGAACGAAAATGGAATCGAAAATTGCAGATTACGTGAGGTAAGTTAGTAATTATTTTATTTGTTCGTTTGTTTGAACTTTTACATGGTACTATTTTTAAATTTTGTAGATAAAATATGCTTTGCATTTTTTATAAATTAGAGGTTGAACAAAGTCAGTTTCATTTAATATATTCACCAAAACGTTATGAAAATAGACTACAAATATTGTTTGTAACTTAAATATTTTTTTCGTTAGAAGTTATTAAAAATAGATTTTAATAGTTTTTAAATATTCGAGTATTTCTGATGCCTGAATTAAAAGTAAACTAATGTAACGCATTAAATATTTGTAATGTATTAAAAATGTAAAATTCTTCAAAAATATATCAATGAATCTTGTTAAATTCACAGACGCATATGCTGGTTCACTACAGTCCTACGAAGTCGAGAATGCTTGAAACTACATGTAATTAGGTATTGTTTTGTGCATCATATTTCCACTTATCGGTTTGTAAATTTTAAGGGGACATTTTCACTTTATGCGCAATTTCATTGCAAGTGTACACACATGTGATTGTTCAGAAACAAGTTACACGGGATGCAAGTAAAAACTCCATTCGTAAAATATATTTACACTTTCGAGAATGTTTCAAATGCAGCGCGAATAGCTCCTTCTTCAATGTCATGCGTGAATCATAAAAAGGGCCATTAAATCTGAATGTGAAAAAAATTTCGCAGGCGCATTCGGAGAAAATACCCGTATTCTGATTGGCGTGATTTTTGCATGTAAACATATTACACCAATTAGGTTATCATCACTCGTACCGCCGATTTAATATATGCGACATTTTGAACTCAGCGGGAATAGCCTTTAAATGAAAAAGGCTTTCACTGAAAATGCCCAAGTCTTATCAGAAGTGTAAACTGAATGCAGTAAAAATGACCAATGAAGGAGTCCCGCAATCCCGCTTCGGTAGCCCGACGGCCTGCGCGCGAAGTCGAGCTCTTAAACTAATTATAATATATACATGGCAACATGTTTTTACTGTAATAAATGTAAACAACTATTTTCGCGAAATTTGATTTGAACCGAATTCTAGTCAATGATGTTAAAGAGTAACTATTTCTAGTGGGGACCTTGCGTACCTTGAAAAAGCTGTCTGAAAATTTTTGTTTATGTAACTGCCTTGAATTTACCCATCATGGATCCTGAGGATCTTATGAATAACTCTGATATTGAATTCTTGTCTCTTCGTGAGAGAATATCGCTTCTTAAAAAAAGAGAACAAAATAAAATAAAAAAGTAGGTTGATCTTTCAATTAAATTTGCTGTTGAACAATATTTTGAAACATGGATTTTTAAAAAGTTAAATTGTGAAATTTAACAGGGCGCATCAACTTTCCGAGTTTAATATGCGTCTTGTAGCCAAATTAAACTATTTATGAACGATTTTTTCGGTATAGCCCAATTCGTATTTTATTTTGTATAATAAACAAAAGAGTGATGAGAAAATAGTTGCCTTACAAAAGAGTGATGAGAAAACGGTTAATTTTTCCCCCTACCCTTTTACTTATAAGATTTTAATAGGACCTACTCTTTATCGTACCATAGAAATCATTAAATTAAGTTAGAAAAATTGTTTCCAGTAAAAAATTTTGTATTATGTTGTGAAGTAGAATTGCCTTTTTTTTTATTAAATTAGGCAGCAGATTTTGTATTTGTGCTATGCATTTTATATATATTTGTATCATTAGACTTATCATATGATTATGTAATAGGTATGTTTATCGATTTGTATTAAGACCAATAAATTATACTTTGCTATAATTTGTAGGTGTAGCAATTTATCACTTTATTTTATTTCAACTGACCATTATTTTGAAGATAATTTTACATTCAGCAGCTATCACATTTTTCTCTTGATATTTATTATATGATTTGTTTTGTTATATTTCTACATTTATTATATTATTAATCATACTATAATGATTTCCTATTTTGCCACAAGCTACAATAAATCCCAACAAATGATGAATCCAAGTCCTTTCTTAAATTTTGGCTAAAATACAAAACAGAAAAGTAATGGAACATACTCCAGTGCGAAATATAGCCCATATTTAGATGGAATTTATTTTGGCTATTTGACTTGCTTTTTCTACCTTTAAAGTAGATTTTACCTTTCCATTTAATCACTTGGTTTTTAAATTTTTTTGAAAAATCTACTCATGAAAAATAAGTTATATTTTGACAAAAGTTTTGCATGTTATGATCCATAAAAGAAATGCAATAAAATGAAAAATTCATATTTTTTTACTTGAGTGTTTGATATTGATAGAAGAGAAAAAATGTGGAAGTGTTTTAATGTCATAAATATAATATTTCTGTTTAGAGATGTATATGCATAAAAACATGTATGCATTTATCCAAATATTATATTCATGTATAATATCCAAAATTAATATTCATGTATGCATTTACCCAAGTTGTGATACTTCTAAATTATTTTTCATGAAATTTTTAATGAATTACAAGACTTCAAAAAATTTTATGTAATTATTCTTAACTTTCAATTTTTAGAACCACATCTAATACTTCAATAAAACGAACTCATTCCATATCAGATAGCGAGGAAAGTGATTCAAACAAGAAGGAATCTGATAATGAGTTACCTCCAGTAAGTCATTATGAAATTTATAGTTTTTTATTATGATTATGTTCAGTTTACTGGATTGAATTGGATCAGACAATTTCTATTAATTGGATAGGGTCAAATAGTAAAAAAGTAAAATGGTTATTAGAAAAGAACGCTACATTAGCAGATAAACCACCCAGTTAAATTTATGTTTGTTTAGGATTTAAATTAGTCATTTAACTGAAATAATAAACTATTAAAATTGATGAATGTACTAAATGAGATGTTTCTTAAGATTTCTTCATGATTTTTTTTTTTAAGAAAAACTTAGCAGTTTTTATGTTGTCTGAAATGAAAGTAACTAAATAAGTGGTTAAATTAAATGTTAGGAAATTGAAAGTATTGAGATAAATTAAATATTTAATTATTATTGTATTAAATATAAAAAAAGATCAATTGAAAAATATTTCAATTGCTTGCCATTGGTATTATAATTGTGTCTGACTAGACCTGAAAATTTAAATTTTTTGTTAGTAGCCAGTAGTTGATAGAATCTAACAACTCAGTAGCCACTTTTTTCTCAAACGTAATGAGTCAGTGATAGATGGGTCATTCTCACTGAAAGACTAATAGACTGAAAGATTTTCTAAGATTAAAGTAATTAAAAAAGTGATAAAAATTACATAAATGCCTTTATTTATTTTTGTTATATGTCCTTATAACAATGGTCAAGTTTTCTATTTTATTTTTTACAAGATTTAAAATATTTTAAATTCTGCCTTGTTCATGGAGGAGATGTAATAGTCAATGGAGGAGACATTTTATGTTATAAAATGTCAATGAAGACTAATTCATTAATTATTGGGTACAACTGATATGAGTTTAACATTAATAAGTTAATAATAAAATATTTCAATATTAAAGATAGAGCTACTTCCGATTAATCATGCTGCTATGAAAGGAAACATCCATTTTTAACCTAAGTGTACAATTTTTTAAGTAACTCTTACTGAATATTAATAAATTGAAATGTAAAGACTATTGAAATAAAAATTCAGACTCCACATTAAAGTTGAGGGTACTCTTTAATGAACATTTTATGCAAGTTAAACATACTGTCATCCAAATGACGTTTTTGTTTTTTTATCTTTTCTTCTTGTTATTGTTTCTTTTTTCCCTGGGCACAAATGACTTGCTCTATCAATTTCTAGAAATTTAAGTACATTTAATCACGATTTTTCTGTTAAATCTTTTTCTGATTCAGATTTTAAAGTTTCTTGCTCTTTTTTTTTAATTTTTTTTTTTACTTTCTTCAAACAATATAGGGTTTTCTTTTAATTTCTGTCTAGCTTGTCTCATACTAAGTTTTTTCTGTTCCCTTCTCGTTTGCATTTGAACATTTGACTGCTTTCTTCTTTTACATGTTGGTTTTGTCATTTTTTTCCTAAAATTTGAAGAGAAAAAAATAGTTAAACATCACAGAAATTATTTAGAAAAATTATCAATATTTACTTCTCCGATAAGAAAAAGTTAAACTTAATTGATTTTCTTTAAAAATACAAACAAATTAACACATTTGTTCCATTTTAAAAAATATCAATTAAAAGAAAATAGTTTTTTAATTATTAAAATTGTATTATGGTTAGCTAACACATTGTCTCTTCCATTGACTGTGTCTTCTCCTCCATGGAATTGTCATGTCCACAGAGGAGACAAAAACTAGTTCTTTAATTTTACTGATTTTTAATTTTAAAGTTACAAAAATGGGGCAGTTCTTTTTATTAAATATACTATTTTTGCAAAAAACTCATCTAACAAAAATAAAATAATTTTCTCTTACCTTCTTTATGATGTCCATGGAGTATACGGTGAGAACTTTACCAAACCCCAGTTGAACACAACAATTCAAAACTGACACCAAAGAGAACAAAAGCAACTGATAGTTAACAATAGAAAATGGAATGGTTACCTTTCCCAGAAGCTGTCTTATAGGGATTTCGCATATGCTGCCCTTTATTGCATATTTACCGAACTATATTAATTGTCCATGGAGGGAGATTTTATTTTTGATGGACAAAGTTTACTAGTCATTTATTTTATAAAAATAAATTTTTTTCAAAAAAATATTAAACAAAAAGTTACTATAAACATTTACCTAGGTAAAACTACAAAAGTCATTAAAATAACATTTAAAATTTTTAAACAGCCATTAAAGATTATTTTGTGTCACAGAGGTAGCGACGTCCATGGAGGGAATTTTAAAGTTATGTTTATTAAAAAATAAGAATGAAATATTAAATACATTTAGCAGAAATGCATATGACATACCTGCCAACTCTTCCGGATTTTCCGGAAGATTTCATTTTCATATTTAAAGTGGTAGCAATACTCAGGTTATTCCAATTAACTTTTTGAATTATAATGATAATTATAAATGAGTTTGACCACCACTACATATAAATAATTACAATCAATATATCAAAGCATAATAATCCTTGCCCAAGCGAATTTCAACGGGATCAAAATATAAATATATTTTTGAGTCAGATTGTTTTTCGTTTATTGTTTTACAACCACTCTGAAAATCCATTCTCGGAAAGAGTGAAAGTTGGCAGGTATGATATGACTTGTTAGTTAGAACTTTACGAAAAATATTAAGAAATCTGCTGTATTTCCTAATGTTTATTACTAGGGGACTTAAAAAATCACCTTTTTGTGAGAATGACCCAGATATTGCTGGGTCTTTTTCATTTTATAGCATTTTTCATTTTTTTTTTTCCTTGGTTTAAACTATATATTTAAGAAAAAAAATCTTATTAGAAATAATATACGGCTATAGAAAGTTAATTCAATTATAAAAATAATATAAATATATAACAAAATTTAGTTAAATGACTGACTTTAAAGAACTCTATTTAAAAATATTTGCGGCTAGCAAAATACATTTAATATACACATTACATCTTTGAAATATGGGAATTGTTTTCATTAAGAACTCTCTTTCCATGGAATCTTTTCACCAAAATGGATGGATCCTTAAGGTTCGAAAGGAATTTTGAATGGTGACATTAGACATCTTAATGAAAATTATGTTTTCCAGAGTATCTTTCTGCATTGATGTACTTACTTTTATCATAAATCCATTTAAAATTTAAAAAATAAAAGAAACGATGGGAAAAAGTTATTGGTTTTTCACTTAATTTGAGTCATGACTTTTGTTTTGTTGACTCGCCACATTTTCAGATTTATGTCTGACTGTGTGTGTGGGGTTGTAGATACTATCCCAGTTTAGTTGTCCTTGATTTTAGTAAAAGTCGTTGCAAATTGTTAGTCCATTTTTCTTTCAAATGATTTTTTTAGATGTAAAAAAAGATTTTTTGTTTCTATAACTTTCTATAAGCATTGTTTGTCAGAAATTTTCTCATCTGAGATAACATGGATATTAGGACTTAAAATCTCACTTATATTTCCCATTTATGATTTTGTAATTTTTGTTTTGGCAAATATTTTAGTTACCAGTTGTAAGTCCACGAAAGCAAATGCCTGAGGTATTGTTATTATCTGATAGTGATGATGATTGGAAAAATACTGTTGACGATAATCCATTACCCGTGATTGAATATGTAAGTAAATTTCTAGAATAAAATTTTTTCAATATTTGTTTCAAAAATTTTATTATTCATTTTTAAAAGTTTTATTGTAGCAATGCATTTTACGAAATTAGACTTCAGTCATAGTTATTAGCTTGATAACACTTTCTTAATAATGGCTGGTCCAAATACTAGCTAAGAAACACAATTTTTATTATTTTTTTAGGCTTTAATTAGAATTTTTATATCACCTATTTGTGTGAAACATGCTTTTTTTTTCTGTTGAAGATTTGGAGCAATAATAACAATAAGCCAACTTTTTAAATTATTCCAGTGAACATTTTTTCACATATATTTTGCAAAAACATCACTAATTCTGTTTAGACAGTAAGGTGTTTCTGTGTATTGTGCTGTTATCACGTAGTAATTAAAAGGTATCTGTCTGGAAATCATGTTCAAGATGAGTTTAAAGTCTAACTCTCACCTCTATAAAGAATGTGGCTTGGAACTATATAACTATAAGCCTTTTATTTCTTGGAAATATTACAGTGTTATTTTTTTCCCCAAAAAGTTTATGATTAATATTATGAATTTATGTTTCTATAAATTGAAGTAATTATGTATTGTTCATTTACTTTGCAGTTTTGTTTCTTCACATTCTAAAATTTGTGTTTAACCAATTGACTGTCAAGCCTTATTTCAGCCACCTCTATAAACCAAATTATTTGATAACTAAAGTTATTTTAAAATTTAAATTAAAAGCATTGAAAGTCTAACTCTCACCTCTTTAAAGAATGTGGCTTGGAACTATATAACTATAAGCCTTTTATTTCTTGGAAATATTACAGTGTTGTTTTTTTCCACAAAAAGTTTATGATTAATATTATGAATTTATGTTTCGATAAAGTGAAGTAATTATGTATTGTTCATTTACATTACAGTTTTGTTTCTTCACATTCTAAAATTTGTATTTGACCAATTGACTGTCAAACCTTATTTCAGCCACCTCTATAACCCAAATTATTTGATAACTAAAGTTATTTTAAAATTTAAATTAAAAGCATTGATTTTTTCGACATAGAAATTTTTTCTGTTACTCGAAGCTTGTTACTCAGTGTTTTTGATATTACAACTACATTTCCGTGTTTTTAACCTCAATTTTCATAAGTCTTCACAATTATAACTGTGTTTTTATACTCTTTATTAATAAATAAAAAAAAATAACTGAATTTTTTAACGAAATTCTGTTTTATGGGGGGCAGGTTACAAAAACATGCTGGATCTAATCACCAACTCTGATTAATTTGTAGCAATTACTCAGTAACACTATTTACATTTTCTATATTTACATTTTGGGCATTTAAAAGAGTTAATAAAAATGGTATCTTTATGTTATAAAATGTATGTAATTAAATTTGTACTTTGAGGTGCTAAAGCAGTTTAAACCTATGAAAATCCATTTAAATATAAACAGCTAACTATAAAAAATTTATTCTAGATAATTTCTTTTTTATGACCACAATACAATTCACAAACCTTAAAGCTTCTTATTCAACTTTAAGGCTTGTTTAATATGGACCATTATTGTCTCATTGATCTTATTTTAATCTACATTTATAAATTTTTCATGATATTCTTAAAAGTTAGAGGTAAGTGTGTGTGCTCAATGGCAGATTTTTATGACATTTTATGTTGTTACTTTTATTGAATATACAGTTATTTCTTTGATTCTTTTCTGTTTTTTCAGGGGGGCAAAAGTTTAAATTCAAAACTTAACTCATTCAAATGTGAGAAATTTTCTTATTAATCATAATTAGTTGATATTTCTTAAATTTTGTTTATTGTGAAGCATTGTATTTGTATATTATTGCTATTAATTGATTATTGCAGCAATAGATTAAAAAATGTTTTTCATTTAGCAGTCAACTAATGCGTATCAGAATGGATGTGTTGCTGACGAATCAAATGATCTAGATATTTTACCAAAGGATTCAAAAATTAGAAAAAGATCCAAGAACTCTCCAACTAAAAAGGCAAGTATTTAGTGATAATTCTTATATATTAACAACTTGTATAAGTGTTAATTAAAAATCTGTTGTACTCAAAATTTTTAATTATAATTTTACCATCAGAACTCAAACAAAAATATGTAGAAGTTTCTTTGCTGTAAAGCTTTTTTACATTTAGTGTAAGTTTAAAAGTAACAAACCATTCAAGTTCTCTCTTGAACTCAGTTTGGAGTTTAAGGAATTAATCGGCAATTTTTTTAGCATATATTTTTTTAAACAGTATTTTGTGTTTACTACATTTGTGTCTAATAGTTGTGCTTTAACCTTTTACTTTCTATCTTTCTACTTTTGTAAATAAGAACAAATGTTCTCCCTTCTCTCTTTATTCTTTCTTTATTCTGCATCAAATGGGTTTCATATTCATCAAAGCCAGTAAGTTTAAACCAGATTTGAATTTAAAATTAACAGTTTAAGACTTAAATTATATATTCTCTGCTTATTATGATATATGAGAATTAATATAATCATCAATATTTTTTTTCGTAATAAGTGTTCTATTTCTAGTTCTTAATTTTTGCATATTTATACTGTGCCTTTTTTAAGCCTGTATTTTTCAGATACTTAAAATCTTTAAAAAAGATATATTCACACTTCAAAATAAAGTTTTTTAAATTCATATTTATATTAATTTTATTTCTTCTAAGACTTACTGCGAAAACATTACTTTTTAAGAAGATAAAAGCTTTTGTTATTAACATACATTTTTGTTTTACTATTTCAATAAAAACTTTTAGACTTTTAAGTTTATAAAAATGTGAAAGAAACATTAATCATCAGCATGAAGACCTATTAATCATACAATTCTTGTAATACTTCTTGTTTAGGTCGTTAAATTTAAAGTAATACATTTACAAAATTCTTTATGTACTTTTAAAAACTATGTTTTATATTTTGAGAACCTAAATTATTTTTAATAAAAACTGCTTTTTTATGATGCTGCAAAATATACCAATATCATTATTAATATTTTTTTATTCAATGATCAACTTTTGTATTCTTCTGTTTTAAGAACATTTATATGATTGTGAAAATTATTAATTAATTTATTGTTGCCTTTAAAAAGAGCAAAGCTGTAATAAATTTTGAAGTGTTTTATTTAAAACTTTATTAAGCATTTTTGAAAGGTTTTTACCATAATAAAATTTTGTGCTAATGTATTTAAAACAGAAAATATAAAATATGATTTAAATATGAAAAAATATAATATTTTCTAACCATTGACCTTTTATTTCTTCTGCTACGAACAAGTCCCCTCCCCTTCTTATTCAGTGAGAAAATTGTTTACCGAGGAGAAAAATTTATGCAAGCTTGGTTCAATATGAAACGCTTGGTATATAACAGAGTAAATAAAATATCTTTTATCCTTTTTTTTTCAACTTATTTATTTTATTATAGCTTTTTCTTTGTATGCTTTTATTTTGATACTTTTTAGGATTAAATAAAATATAAATATCTGAATGTAAAGAATCACTTTTTACTTATTCTGTACTTGATATTTTCAATTAGATTAAAGCAGTTTTAAACAACAGTTCGTAAATATTGTTTTAAGCTTTTTAGATTTAATATTCTGTTATTGTTTATGCCTTGAAGTTTTAAATGCACATGTTTCTAATGAAAATTTATATTTGTTAGAAGCAAGATGTGGATAAAGAGATTGCAAAGCAACAAAGAGAGAAGGTGAGGGAAGAAAAGAAGCGTGAAAAGGAATTAGCAAAAGCTTTAAGACAATCAGAAAAGGAATTGTTGAAAAGTAAAAAACCAGACGAGTGCTTAAAAGTAATTTATAGTTTTCACTCTTTATTTAAATCTATATATATTCAGATTTTCTTAAATAATTTTGCTGATTAAATAAATGATTTTACAATAGTATACAGGTGCTGTGTATAAAAATTAAATTCAGATGTATTTTAGTGCAATTTTCAATTTTGAGACAAATTTTGCAGTGAAATGATAAGATTTTGATTTGATGAAAGAAGCACTCAAGAAGTTGTATGTAGTTATTTTATTTCATAGAATTCTTTGTGTGGTACTCTTTATTTTGTTAATTGAAACTCAACTCAGAATTTGTGAGTTAACTCCCATGCATTCTTTCATTGTGAAGTTTTTAGATGACACTAGTTTTTGCCATATCTGGTTACATTATAAAAGGAAAAAAAAATTAAGAAAAATGCTCACTGTTACCTTGGTTTTCCTTTTTTTTTTTTACCTAAATGAGTAATTTTTTGTTGCAGTATTACTGCATATTTTAAATTTGAAACATTGAATAAAACACACATTTTAAATGGTTTTAATAAAACATTTCATAAAATGCTTGTATCTGGTTGTTTTAACAATGGTTTATTTTATATTTCTCTATTTAACTTGAATTCACAGAATTGCAAAAATGAGTAAAATCGTCCAAAAAAAAATTGAATTCTGGAAATCTCAGGGTGTGGGGTATGTCTGTAGTGTAACAGTCGTGACACTATATTTTTGAATTGTGTGTCTTTGAACTGTTTCTAGATTAGGTAGCGATTGTGCAGGAATATGTAATTGCAAGTTTTTAGGACAAATATATTGTGTACAATTAAAATGTTCTCTTTGCTATTGATTATAAGTTATTGTGTATCAGACTGAATTCAGTGTGCCTGTGGACTTGCTTTGGCTTGAGGACTGTAGTCTATGACCTATGTCAAGACCTATGACCTAGATCTAGTAGTCTATAATCTATGACTCATGATCTATGTCAAGTAGCACTCAATAGTTATTACATACAGGATATGCAGTACCAAACAATTAAATCACGTAGTTGAAAGGAAGAAGATAAATATTTATGTAATTAATATATAAAATTTAATTTATTTATGAAATTAATTAAAAAATTTTATTTTTTCCATATTTCCCCAAAAAAAGAAGGGAAAAAAATCCTCCCCCCCCCCAAAAAAAAAATCACATTTTGCATTGATTATTTTACTATCATTTTTATTTTACAAATTTCAGGCCATGAAAGTAGNATTTATAAAATTAATTTAAAATTTTTATTTTTTCCGTATTTCCCCAAAAAAAGAAGGGAAAAAAATCCTCCCCCCCCAAAAAAAAATCACATTTTGCATTGATTATTTTACTATCATTTTTATTTTACAAATTTCAGGCCATGAAAGTAGTTATAGACCACAATTTCATTATGGAAAATGAAAGCCAGGATATTTTTTGTGTTTTGGATGAAAAAAATGTAAAATATACCATTGAGGAAAATCCCATTAAATTATCAGTTGCTTGGTGCAGAACTGTTATAGATGTTACTGTTGAGAATAATGCAGTAAGTATTAAGTTTTCATTGCATTTGTTTTTAGTTAAATTTTATCTAAAGTAAGCAATAAAATTTATTTTTCATAATTTTACAGGGATGATTATTAATAGGTAATTAATTGTAAATGTTAGTTCAAAAAATTATGTTAAATATGAAATGTGTTGTATATAAATTGTTTTCTTAATATCGATTTTTTGCACTTAAAATTTTCGGGGTTTTTCACTTTGTGTCACAATCACCCTTGATTTTATTATATCTTTTAATTAAAAAGCTCTGCTACTGAAACATACTTATGTCATTTTTAATTCTATATGGATGAAAAGAGACTAGTGGGCTAAAAAATAATCCATGCTACCCTAATAAATTGAATTATATGTGAAATTGCAATTCTGGGAGTCAAATTATTAGGGTCGAAGCTGAAAAGTTATTTGTTTTTAAAACAACTGTGCTTTCATTAATGTGCCCTTATATGCAGTGTCACTTTCTTTATTAAAGATAAACTATTGATGACATTTTGGCATTGACTAAAAAACTAAGTTTACATATTCTCAATTTCATCATTGTGCAATCAGACTTATAAAGTGTTTTTTCCCTCCTAACTGAACAACTCTTCAAAATATTTCTCAATTGAATTTAAGTTTTTGTGAATTTCTTACAAATTAAGCCAAGTTACTTTAATCTTCAGCAGAAATCTTTTGACCATTCTTTTTAGTTTCAACTAATTCAAAGTTGGGTTGAATATATTCATCAAATGTTCTGATTAATGGAACAATACTGCTTCATAACATTTATGTTTATTAAGTAAGTTTAGCATGTTGATTTACATTTAGTAAGTTGCCTTTAATAGGAAAGTATTCTGTGCCATTTACTGAGAAAAAATCATAGGTCTCTAACAAAAGGTCTCTAAATATTTGTTATAGACATGCTGTGGTCAAAAAATTAAAAAAGAAAAAACTTACTTAATCCATTTAATTTGTGCAGTTTTGTAACCTACATAAACTAATAAGCGTAAGTATATCAAAAATATAGCACAGTTTGTTCACATGAATAATTTTGTTTTAAATTCTCATATTTGACTAAGCTCTAGAACAATTTTTTCTGCCTTTTGTTGCTAACACCAGGAAGGAAAATTGATGACCACATACTTGCATAATGTGTTTAAGTGTTTTATGTAATATAAATTTATCATTGGAACAATATTTAATGTTATTATCAGTTCTTCATTCAAGTATAAAATTGTGTCGTCTCAAATATTTCTCCCTCTTTAGAATAAAGTATTTGCTCATTGAGAATGAAATATTTGCTTGTTTGAATTTTAATTTAAATTCTACGAATATATGTTTATAATTTTTTCTGCATCACAATGTGAGAGTAATATTATTTATTTTTGAATTTTAAAATATAGATATCCGAAATTATATCTTTGGATTTAATATTCTTTATCTTTTTATCGCCTCATCTTCTTTGTTCAGAGATTGAATGCAAAAATTCTGTTTTAAAAATTTTGAGTTATGTTTTTAGCAAAATGCAGTTTAACATAAAGATTCTATTACGAATATCAGTATTGTAATCTGTGCAGCGCGCTGAAAAAAAGGACCACCCTGAATAACTTTTGATCTAATGATTGGATCTTCATGTTCTAGGACTCATTCTCATTGGTTTGAAGAGGTGACCTCAAATTTACTAATTAGTTTGTACAGACCATATTTTAAAATACGAAATCAGACACAAAAACATACTTTTTCTGAATTAACATGCCTTTTTTCGTCAGAATTGGATTTCTGATCCCCAAAATAATGCTGCAATGTGAGAAATATGGGTCCCATAGTTTGATCAGGGCAGTGATCCAAAAGTTGAACCTCTTAATATTAATTTTACTTTTTGCATATTTTGCCATATCTCATGATCTTTTTAAGCGAAATAAAAAATTTTTGCTCACAATTATAAAATTCATTTATTAAAAAATAATCCCATGCAAGAAAATAAATTTTAGTAAATATTTATTATTTTTTATCTCTTTATTAAAGAAAGTTTCTAATTGTAAGGTAAAATTTTTTTACTTAATTTTACAGTATGTAATTTTACGTGGCAAAATACGAAATCTGAGTGAAATCGGTTAATCGGAAATCAAACTTTAAATATATGACTTCTTTAAAATTTGATTTTTCAGGAACTATTCAAACAAATTTGCTTAAATTTTATATTTTGCCATGTAAAATTACCACATACTTTAAAATGATGTAAAATTTTATACCTTGCAATTCAAAATTTTTTCAACTATTATTTAATAAAATAATAGAAAAATAATAAATATTTACTATAAATTTATTTTTTGCATAGAATTATCTTAGAATAAGGCAATTTTATAATTATGTGCAAATTTTGAGTCTAAAGAGGTTACTCTCCTGACCAAACTTTGAGGACCGTATTACCCGGATTGCAGCTACCTGCTCTATTTTAGGATTCAGAAATCCAAATTTGTTGAAAAAAATTATGTTTGTTCAGAGAAAGTGTGTTTTTGTGTCTGATTTCATAACTCAGAATATCATTTTCTCTAATTAATCAGTATATTTGAGGTCACTCTCTTAATTCAGAAGTTGTGTTATCCCCTCTGATCAAAAGTTATTCAGGGTGGTCCCTTTTTTTTGGCGCTCTATGCATCTTTTTACTCTCACAAAACAGCACTCTTGTGCTTAATTGCTAAATAATAAAATGTTGAATAAATTAATTATTTTAAATATTACAGCTACTGAAAGAAGAGAGAGAAGAGTTTGAAAATAATTTAGTTGTACTTATACCAAATGAATCTTTTATTAAAATGGTGTTTGCATTTATGCAGGTAAGCCCTTTTCCTATTTTGAAATTAAACTCGCAAAAATTTCTGTACTTGATTGCTCTTGTATTTATTTGTTTTTATTACTAAAGCTTGTTTAAATTTGTCAAAATTCTATCTTTATTTGTTATGATGATTTATTATAATAATTATTACATTAATGAGTTATTTTCCTTTTTAATACCTTAATAACTTAAATTTCTGAATATATTTTAGAAATCAAAAGGAAAAGATACCAGTGAGACCATTCTTTCAGATTATATTGTTAACATACACACCATGTTTTCTGAAATGAAAATAACATGTATTATTTTAAAGTTGGATCAGTACATCAGGTAATTTTTTTAGAATTTTTTTATTGTCTTCATGTGTGATCATATATAATTTGATTTAATCTTAATTAATTTAAATTAATTCATTTGATTTATTCAAATAATATGTAAAATATATCAATTTAATAATATTTTTATATATCTGCTTACCTGTCTCTTTTAATTATATTTAGCAGATTATGTTATCGTAAAATGTTTGTTTTCCATGTGAAAATTTAAAATATATATATATATATAACATTCAAAAAATTTCTGGGTCATGAATAAAAGCTTCATTTAGCTTTAATCTTTATCTTTTATTGTTACATGTTAGTAAATTTTTAACTTTACTTTTTATTTGCTCATTTCCACTAAATATGTAAATTCTAAAAATTGATGAAAATAATCAAGTTTTTATTAATCTAAAGTATTTTTAACTGGTGACGTCTCAATGATATTTTAAGGTTTGTAAAGCTTTTTAAGGATGGTTTTTTATACGTATGATACTCATTTATCATATGTGTGGCCTGTATTTATGTGAAACTCCAGTGTAAAATTTTAAAAACTTTTAATCTAAAAATTCAATATGTTTTTCTGCAATACTTAATCTTCTTCATTGATTCTTCAGGTCGGTAAAAGAAAATGATTCATGTAGTGGTGAGTTAAAGAAGATTGTGAAACAAGTGTCGAAAATGGTAATTGAAGAGGTAAGTTCATTTTTTATTCAACATCTGATAAAATGTGTCAGTAATGTTTATTAGGTTAAAATATTTAACAGTAGTTTTAATGATCTAACTGGGCAATTAGAAAACATAAATATGCTGATAGAAATTTAGTAGTTTTTTTAAAAAAAAAAAAATAGTCTATAGACCAATTTTTAATAGAATATAGACCAACTGAGTAAAAAACTGAAATGAATATTCTATTTCAGTTTCAGTTATTTTTATTTATTTATTGTAGTGAATAATATGCTATAAAAATATATAAAATATAAATAAAACATGTTTTTATTTTAATCACTAGACAACTTGTAATTTAAGATGTATTTGTATTGTCCATGAAAACATATTGTGGTAGTGCACTTTTGAACTCATGGTATTGAGATAGTATGGAGCATACCATTTTATAAACAGCTTTATGTTTCCTTACAATGTGAATGACATATGGCTGAAAACTTAAAAAACTGTTGCCTTGTGTTATATTTGCTTTTATTGTAAATATTTTAGTAATATCGAACATAATTAATAAATTAATCAAATTTATATGTGAAGAAAACAGCTACCATTTCTTTATAAACATATCTAGTTTTGACTTTTCTAATCGTAAACAAATCCATAATAATAAGTGGAATTCATAATAAATATGAATTAAGATACTGGTAATAAATACAAGTTACACTATAAACATTAAAATTCTTATTTGTGTTTGTTTAATTGAACTAAGTTAGTGTTAGAATGTAAAGTGATCCTGTAACCTGCTTTTGGACAAGGGCTTATGGAGGTAGAAACTTCTAAATTTCAAGACATGATGGTGGCTTAGTGGTTTGATGTGCTTACTGCCTTTATCTTTGCATGAAGCCTATTCTTTTTGGATAAGTTGTTAGATATCCATCTGAAACTGAGTGGGCTTCAATATGCCATCACTGGGGATCTATCCCTGGTTCTTTACAATGATAGCTCAGTACCTTTTACTTTGCTATCAGGCTAGTAAGCTGTTATTAGTTGTGTAAAAGTTTATATGTTCTTTTTTTTGGTTGGTATTTTAAAATGATTAAAGGAAACTTAAATTAAATCTTTAAAATTAGTGTGTCTAAAAACTTTTCAAGTATTCAAGTCAAAGAACAGGTAAAGTTTATAATTCAAAGTTTTTGTGAAAGCTTTGCACATTTTTCTGAAGTGTTTAAATTTTGCATACTGTAATTTCATTGTAGGGAGTCACGTTAATGTTAGTTTTTCCTTTTACAGGCATTAGTTGAAGTTCAGTTGCAGGCAGCTGTGAATTTCATATTTGTCAATAGTATGAGAGAGTTTGGTGATTTGCTTTTTAGATTTACCAAAGCTATTGCTGAAGCTCCTCAAAAGTAAGTATCTGTTTCGTGATTTCTTTTATTGTTGTCATAAGGCCATTAAATTCTGCACATGGCACATGCAAGTTGATTAATATTTTAGTCAAAAATCATTCTGTAAAAATGCATCTTTGTCTGAAATATCTTTATACAAAATGTGAGTGAATAAAATAGCTTTAATCATCTTTATGTATTAAAAAACAAACAAACTATAATCTATTAAACAAATTATCAAGACCTACGCTAAGCATTCGCCACCTTGCCGAGTGCGATAAAATTGTTAACACAAAGAGAAAAATTGTATTTTAGCGAAGGATTTTTTTTCTACCGAGCAGAAAAAATATATTCCTCTCAATCCAGGAAAAAAAGATCAAAGGGAACTTTCTTGAACAAGTCCTGTATTTTTTTCTTGATTACACTAATTTCCGTTTGAAACGTGGCATAACCAATTATAATTAGCCAAAATAATATTAGCATAAGAAACAAGAGAGATTACATAAGCATAAGGCTAAATACCATAAAATGCATATTAATACGTGCGTTACTGTATCACCTGATATCATATGATGAAAATTTTTCTACAGTTTGTATTACTGAAAGATGCATGATATCATTGAACTATTTTTGCAGAAAATATATTTTTTTGTGACAATAACATCTCAATTAGGTGACAACAACATAATGTTGCTTCAGATTTATCCTTATGTTACTGCTCTAGTCTAAGAAGTAATCAAAAATTAACCCCTACCTATTCCTATTTCTTTCTCTTTTATTGCTCAATTACTCCTCCCCAATTGCAAATTGACTCTTGATTTGAATTGTAGTTTATGAAATAATTTCTATTTTGATTGGAAGTATTTTATGGGAAAAAATCAAACATAAGAAATTTTTAAGTTTTGCCTTGGGCTAAGAATTTTAAAAGTTGGCTAATGCTTTTGTTATTTGGCTAATTTTCTGGCTAATAATTTGAAGTCCTTAATGCGGGTTCTGGTTATATCACACATAAGATGCAGAATAGCCCTGTTGTTTTCTAAAAGAACAATTCAAAAAAAGAGAGATAATGCACTGACAACGGAATTTATTAATTATTTGTGGCATTTAGTACAGGTAATAATTTTATTAATAAAATTTGGTTTTTCATAGTTGAAAAGTATAGTTTAAGCTGTTTTGTTTTAGAGGTATAGCTATTTTATGTATGTTTGTGTTGTTTATTTTAATAGAAATCGATTTTGAAATAATATTTGTCTATTCAATGATATGTAGTTATATTGTATTATTTTTACTACTGATGTTAATAATTGAATACAGTAATTTTTTTGAAGAAAAAGATTTTATCTTCCTTTAAAAAATAAAAAAAATTACAGTATGAAGGTGGAATTTTATGTGAACAATCATCAATATCTTTTGCCAATATTTGTATTTATCCTTATCATTTTACTCGATTTGGACACATGTCTTAATGATGTGTTTATTTATTTACATATATATTGACTAATACATATGTTTAACTAATTTTTATTAGTAGTACTTCATTTATGTAACATTAGAGCTACACAATGGGCTATTGGCATTGGTCTGTGAAACATACCTGGGGATCATCCAAAGACGTACCTTCACAATTTTGATTATCTGCAGAAAGGATGGCTGCTTAGCTTTGGCAGCCTAGTGATCTGTGTGCAAAGTTGAGCACTTAGTTGATGCACAGTTTAACCAGAACAGATGCTACTCACCCTTGATCTCTTCGTGATCAAAGTAGTCACTCATCCGCTCACTGATCGCAGCCAGTAATGCTTGACTTCAGTGATTCGCTGAGAACCGTTTTTTATGATTAGTCAACAGCAGGACACTTAATTATTACATTCATTTATTTATAATATAAAGAATTTTCTTGCATATTTCTTTTTGCTTCAAATTAAAAAACTTTTTTGTGAAAAGACTTTTTTTGTGGTCAGTTATTTGTATTTTGGGAAGGAGGGTAGACAGGCAGATCTGACTTTTGTTGTTGATCTTTTTATAGTTGATCTTTTCTAGTTTATATTATCTTGTCCTTATATTACTATTTTTAATTGTTTAATAGGCAAGAGAAACAGAAGCAGAAAGATTCTGCCTTTTCTTGGTATGCGGATGGTGACACCAGTTGTCCTGTTAAACTGGACAAAGAAAGATCTAGCTTCATGAAGCTGTGGCAGCAGCAATTACAACAATTTCAAAATGTGGGTCCTGAAACTGCTGAAGCTATTGCTGCAGTGTATTCTTCACCCAATAGTCTAATAAAAGTAATGTGTTCATTTTTATTGGAAAGTAAGATACATGGAACATATTTAACTAGGGTGAAATTACATTTGTTGTGAATCTGCTAAAATAAAGCCACATTGAGCAGTTCTGTTTTAATAATTTATAATTTTATTATTGATTTTAGGAGCATTGTATTTAATTTACTTGTCAAAATAAATGTTTTATTAAATCCCCCTGTTACTTGGTATTAAATGCGCTAAGTAGCATATTGTATTTAATCTCTGTTGCAGAACATATATGTTCTAAAAACCAGAGCATGATTTCATTTTTTAAACTCAGTAGCCAAGTTTGCTAGTACTGAAAAACATTGGTAGCAAAACCCAGGAATTGTCAGTTTAAACCAATAGTCTGAGGCATTTTTTTGTAACTATAAAGATATTAATGCAGATTTTAAAATAATTGACTTGAGGAATCGAAATATTGAGTTTTCAATCAAACATAATTTTATTTTAATGCATACAAGTAGAAATCACAAAATTCAATAGTTCAAACTTAATAACTTAATCATATGCATGTTACATAAACATGATTTAAAGTGGGCCTGACAAGAGTTATTCTTCCTAAATTTTTGGAAATTTAGTCATTTTATAAAAAAGAAACTTAATTAACAACTTTACATTATAAATTTTTTATGTTGATATATTCAGGAGTTAAACATTCGTTTATCATTTTTAGCAAATGTAGTAACAAATCTTGTAGGTTTCAGTCTTTTGTGTTTTCACAATTATTGATTTGTCATATTTATCTGATTTTAAAAGTTATCAATTTCAATGAACAATGCAGTAATCATATGTTGAAATTTTTGAATGATGAATTCAGGGAAGATTTACTATATTTTGTAAAAAAATGTTAAGGGTCATGTTTCTTTTTTTTAATTTTTTATTTCAAGATTATAGTACAATTACAATTAGTTGAGTTACAGTAGTATTTTACAATTAGTTGATTAAGGAAGTCTTGAACTCAATTAAAAATTTTAATTTAATACTGGTGTGAGGGAATAACTAATTGATTATTATTATTTTAGGGCAACAGGACTATATAAAAATTTTCTGTACATTGATCCCAAACAATTATGAGTTAATCAATATTTCATTAAGAAAATTATATTGAAAATAGTTAAAATTTTCTGCTCTATATAAAGTAATTCTGAAATAAAATCCTTAAAAAGTGTGATTATTATTTTAAGAAAAGATATTTTGACAAAATGTAGAAAAAATAGCCTTCCTTCAAAGTTGTTTTGTTCTTAATTTAAAGATGGACAATTTCTTGAAGAATCTTTTAATCATATGATTAAATGCTCCCTGAAGCAGAAAGTACTTAATATTTCCCTGAAAAACCTTTTATATTCAAGCCATTATGAAAATTGAATGTACTGTTAATAGTTTTTGGTTCATTATATGGAGATTTATACCTAATTTGATATCAGCTTAAAATTATTCTCTCTCTTTTTTTTACGAAAATATTCATTATTTAAATAATAGTAATTAATGAGAATGATAATAATTTAATAATAATTAAACTTGCAATAATTTGACGATACCCACAAAACATTTTAATCATCAAATGTCTTGTTGCAAACCATTAAAATAAAATTCTCTTCCTGAAAGTTTATAAAAATATATTCTGAAGAATTCTTGATTTCTTATTAATTTATCTTGTACATTTCTTTTATTATCTTGTTATTTGTTAAAAAGTAAAACCTCTAACTTTTTATTTTGAAATGTTGGCTGCTATGCTCTGAAAAAGCATTGCTGCTGCTTGATGATCTTTGTATTTGAAGTTAAAAACAGTATTTAGTTGTTAGCACTCAGCATAGTTGTATTTTTTTTCTTTCATTTTAATTTTAAATTTCAGGTTCATAAAAAAGATTCTTCTACCTTATACTTATTTTTAATTAGAATTCATTGAAACTAAGAACAGTATTGAGTTTTTTCTGCTTTTTAGCGGATTTCCGCCTTTTTCACTTTTGTCTCTTGAATTTCAGCCTTATTATCAAAAACTCCGATTTTCTGAAAGTTTAAGGTTTTTTTAATAAATATTTCGCCTTTTCTGAAAATTCAGTCGTTGAAATAAAATAATTATATTTATTTCCGATTTGATATATGGATATAATATATCGAAAGATATATTGAAGATTCAAACTAGTACGTAGCTGCTAACCCTTCTACATATCTACTTATTTTAGCATTTACAAGCAGAAAATAAGATTTTCTTAATTTTTCCCCTTCCGCTAGATAGCTCGTATTTTAATTCAAACATCGANTTATATAATATATCGAAAGATATATTGAAGATTCAAACTAGTACGTAGCTGCTAACCATTCTACATATCTACTTATTTTAGCATTTACGAGCAGAAAATAAGATTTTCTTAATTTTTCCCCTTACGCTAGATAGCTCGTATTTTATATCAAACATCGATTTTCGTATTTACCTGATTTAAAAGTTGCGCATTGCGATTCTTATTCATGCGAGTTCAATATCGTTCATTGCATTTCTTATTTACGAGATTTAAAAATCCAATCTTGCGATTTGTATTGAGGCATTTTTAAAATTATATGTAAAGATTCTTATTCACGGCGAGTTTATCCAATCTTGTGATTCGTTTTTGCGGTTGTAATACTCAACATCTATTTTCGTATTTACACGCGATTTAAAAATTAGCCTTTGGATTCATATTCACGCCATTTAGAAATTATGCATTGTAATTTGTATCTACGTGATCTGAAAATTACGCATCATGATTTGTATTTTCACATTTTTGAAATCCAGTATCGAGTTTCATTCACGTGATTTTAATATCGTGATTTATATTCACGCGATTTTAAAATCCAAGATCGCAAATCTTGTAAAAAGTAATTTTTTTGTTGAATTAGTTCCTATAAATGTGGCAGTTTTTCTATCGACAATTATTGCTATATGTAGGCATTACAACTGGATGAGAATATGATGCTGATATTTTTGCTATAAATCATGATTTACTCGCATGAAAATTCAGCTTTTTTGCCTTTTGGCCAATCTCATCCCCGAGTTTATCAATAACAGTATTACTTCATAGTTGTATCTTCTAATTTTTATTTTTGTGTGTTTTAAGCAGTTCATATATTTCAGGCCTACAGAAGTTGTTCAACAGTTAAAGCAGCTGAGGGACTTTTACAAGATATTGTAGTAAGTACAAATGTTATTATTTTTCTTTTATATTTAAAATTAGGTATAAAAGCAATTTATTTTTCTGAAAAATTCACATTTCTTATTTAATTTTTTTTTCTTTCTAAATCATTGGAGATATTTCTGAGTCATACAAAAGTTTTACCTGTTTTCCATTGATTATTCAACATCGTCTTGGTAAATAACGATCTTACTCAACATCAAAAATCTTATTCAACTGCAATCTACATTCACATGATTCTGACACCAAATTCAAAAGGCAATCCTTTGAAGCTGAAATTTAGGTGATAATATTTTCACCAAGACGAAGTTGCAAATATTCATGTGTTTTCAAAATACATTTGAATGTTTTAGATTTGAACATTTTCTCTTTATTTCAGTTTCAGCTATTACAGCTTATGACATTAGACTAATTTTTTTTTGTTGTAGCTTTTAATTAAAATAATTTTTTTAAAAAGCATTTTTTGGCCATTATCATCTGATTTGTTTATATTTTTAAATGAAGAATTTCTTTCTACACCTTCTACTCTCATATCACATATGGTTTGTGGAAAGTCGATTAAAAAAAACTTTTTCTAAAAATAGTTTTATGGCAGTTATTGTAATCAAGTAAATGAAAAGATATATCAAAAAGGCCAGCAAGTAGTTAATACATGCTTTTCTTACAATATTCCCCATCTATGTGATTATGCAAGCATTGAAAAAAATCTGTTAAATATCAAGCAATTATAGCATAATTTGTATTTGCATGTCATTAACATATATAGTCGAACCTTGATCCATTGTTCCTGAATCTTGTTTTCCCTATGTATCGTATATGTATTGGTCCCGCCACAACTGCTTTTCTTATAATGTTAACTATACACATTTAGATTGTTTTATTAATTTTCATACATTTTCTAATCATTATTTGATATTTTAAGTTGAGCTGCATTCCTTGTTTTTTCGTATCTATCCTTTGTAATGAATGGCCCTTTGGGAAATGATAGATCTACGTTCCCCTGTGGGAGAATCGTGACGAAACGGCGACATTGTCGCAGAACGTTGCCGAGTTCTTGGCGGAAAAATTTTGGTTTTCTTTTCTGCTAAAATTTTCGAAAGATATCTTTTCTTCTGAATTATATTCTAAAGATGCCTTTCTCGCGCATCCGAGTGGAAAAAAATGCTTCTGCTTTTTTTATTTTAATTTCAGAGTAATAAAAAATGAAGAGTAATGAAATAAAAAAAAATTGGTTTTCTTTGCTGCAGAAATTTTCATTCTGTTTTTTATGCAGTTATTATTATTGGTTTCCACATAATTTTTAAATCTAATATTTTCAATACGATATAATTTAGTACAACAACTGAATCTCGAAATGAAAACATGCTTTTAGTAACTACTTTTCAGGGATGAGATTCTTTCGCGGATTTCCGCTTTTTTTTAGATTTTTCCATTTTTCCCGCTAATTTCCGCAGAAATTTTTTTGATTTTTGAGCCAGTTAAAATATTTTATGAGGAATTTAATTTTCCGCTGAGCGAAAGCATTGAAGTCCTCATTCCTCCCTCTGAATTTTCTCAAAAAATCATTTCCTTGGGATAAAACTGGTTGACCTTTATACAGGGATGAGATTTTTTCGCTTTTGCCTTTCAAATTTCAGCCTTTTTATCAAAAACTCGGATTCCCTAAAAGTTTAGTTTTTTTTTTAAAAATAAATATCCCATTTTTTTTTCNTAGATATTTTCTGATTTTATGCATGTTTACAGGACTTAGGATTGTTTTAATGAAAATGACTGAGCATTTTTAGGAAGAAATACTATGTGATATTTGTACAAATTTTATATTATTAGAAATTTTATTCTTATACTTTTGTGGTAACATGTTATAATCTAGTTTATATTTACTTAGAAAACATCTATTTTTATACTTTTAATTTATTACTTGAAATGATATCTATCTAGGTTAAATTTCAAAAGTGTACAAGTTGTAAAAAATTATTTCTTAAGAACCTTGTTTTCAAAGTAATACTTATTTTTCTACATATTTTATTCCTGATTTTTACTCCATTTAAGATTTTTTTTAATGTAAAAAAGAAAAAAATGTTGTTTGCTTGAAATAATTTTATTATAGTTTCATAAAATTATGTATGTTATTTGTACAAAGATTTCATTTCGCTTTTTTAATTATTGTTTTAATGTCTTGTTTAATCGAGTTCCAGAGCTTTTTTTTCCATTTAATTTTAGTGTAATTATTGAAAATATCATTTAAAAAAAAAAACACTTTTCTGTGTAAAGAATTGTTGGAGTTTTTAAATTATTGAAGTATATCAGAGTAATTTTTAATGTAATATATTTTTTGGTAAGAAATTGAGAAACAGCATTTTTTAAAATAAAAATATTCAGCTGGAGAGTAGACATTACATTTGCATGTGGTAACAAGGTAATCACAAACAATTTTTTTCGTACCTTTTTCGTAATTGTATTAGTTATCTTGTATTAGACTTTTATTCTTATATCAGGTGTTCCTTATACTTGATACAGTTACATTTGGAAATATTACCTTATACTATATCAAATATATACTATATATTTGGAAATGTTCCTTATACTATATACAGTTACATTTGGAAAAATTACGTTAATCATTATATTGCCAAAAACATTATGAAATGTTTTTGGCAATATAATGATTAACGTAATTTTTCCAAATGTAACTGTTTTACTTAAAACAAACAGTTTAGTTTCTAGCAGTTACACTAAATAACAGCACAATATATAAATATGTTCTCCTAAGCAATTTGAAAATGGATCTTATTATTTTACATCAAGCTTTTCAGTTTGTTACATCAACTTAAAAGTGTTTAATTTTGTTTTAAATTTGCTACAAATAATTTTTTTTTACTCTGAGCCTTATTATTAAATTATGCTAAAGTTTCTGTACAATTAAGAATTTTAAACAGCACGTTTAATGTTTTATTTCATGTGTACAGTTAAAAGTGTAAAAATCTTAGTTGAAGCAAGTTTCAGCTGAATGTTCTTTTATTTTATCTATATTATTATTTATTCTAGTAAGTTTCCCTTTTGTTTCTTAATCTTTATATTTTTACTAGTCTTGATAGATGAGAGGTATCAATAAGGATTATAAAATGTATAATATATAGAAATTTATTGCTAAAAAAATTCCTTGTTTTAATTGACTCTTTATTAAATTAAAGTTAATAATAAAATTCAAATAAAATATTTTACTGATGTGAAAAAAGCCAGCATTTAAGCTCTTAATATTCTACACTTTTCCATGACAGATTGAAATTTTTTATTTACATTTTTAGCATCCTCTTCTAATATTGGGACAAATTTCTTTATAGCACTGGTTACTTTGTCCAGATCCTAGAACATATATTTGAAATATAATAATGGAGTAATATATTTCAATTTACAAAAATTGTATATTTTAAGTAACTCTCAGGTATGTAGTAACTTATTAAAATGATTAAAAATATTTTATAGACATATAAATTCAAAATATTTTCATTGAAGTCCTTTACTTTTAGATTGAAATCAGATATAATGGTTTATATGGCACGACCCTGAATAACTTTTGATCTAATGATCGGATTTTTACGTTCTAGGTCTTAATTTTAATGGCTTGATGGGGTGACTTCAAATATGCTAATTAATAGGTACAGACAATATTTTAAGTTACGAAATCAGACACAAAAACGTACTTTCTCTGGATAAACTTGCCTTTTTTTCAAAAGATCCGGATCTCTGACCCAAAAAATAAAGGGGGTAGCCGCAACCTAGGAAATATGGTCAATATAATTTGGTCTGGAGAGCGTTCCAAAGTTTGGATATCTTGATGTTAACTTTTTGTGTATTTGCCATATCTCGAACTTTTTCAGCGAATTGAAAAATCGTATCACACAACTATAAAATTTGTTTGTCCAAAGATAGTTCTATGCCAATAATAACCTTTAGTAAATATTTATTATTTTTATTATATTAATTAATAACATTAAAAATTTTTTTAATTGTAAGGTATACAATTTTTACATCATTTTAAAGTACATAGTTTTCAATGGCAAAATGCAAAATTGGAGTTAAATCGGTTGACTAGTTTTTGAGAAATCGATTTTTAAAAAAGTCATACCATTAAAATTCGATTTCTCAGAAACTATTAGACTGATTTAACTCAAATTTTGTATTTTACCATGTAAAGTTGAAGGAGTAGTCGCAATCTTGGCAACATAGTTCCAATAGTTTGGACAAGAAAGCAGTTTAAAGTTTACTAAACATAATGTTAATTTTAATCTCGAGAAATGTTTAAGCACATTAAAACATTTTTGTACACGATTATAAAATTTGTTTATCTAATTATAGTTCTATGCAAAAAATAATTTTTAATTAATATTTATAGAGGTAACGTTCTTTATAAACTTTTTCTCATAAATATAATAAGAACTGTTGTTAGTGAAGTGCCTTTATCATTTTATTTGATCTTACTTTGGATATGTAACGCTTAATTTCTGTCATTTCAGCTACTGTATAAATTAGGCACTTTTCTTCTATTTTGGTGATGTCTGTTGTAATTCGCCAAAGATAGCCATCAAGTGCCCAGTAGTTATTGAGTTGGATGTTAGTCTGTAGTTTTGCAGCTCTTTTCTCCCATGTTTCGGCAGCCTTTTCCATTTTACGATTTTTACACCTTTTAATATAATTTTAAAAATATTTTAGTTTTGTTTTGTAACATCCAATGTCTTAAAAAGAAATCCTTAGCATAGTTTTAATAAATAAATATGTGTGATTTTTGAAATTGCATCTGATGCTAAATTAATTTTTCACAATTTGGGTTCTAAGCAGTTTTATTTCTAACCTGTACAAACCACGCATTTATTAATATGAATTTGGTGGCATTTACATTTACTTTTGTAGAATGTAAGGGCATTGGTTTCATTGGATGGAAACCTTGGCAATCCTGTTAAGCTTAACCAGAAATTCAGATATTTTGAAATTCCAATATAAACAGACATATCTTTGATATTGGAATTTTAAAATATCTTTTTTTTTTGTATTCAATATAATTAGAAAAGATATACAGATATAAAATATATATTTTTGTGGAGTTTAATTTTTTCACATAACGATTATCAAATTCAACCTAATATTGTCTTTAAGTAGATACAACAGTGAGAAATTTTTAACATAATTTTAATTATTTATATTAAGATGTGGGATCTATGAAATCGCAACTGATGATAAACTAATTTTCAACATCTATGGTTCTAAGCAGTTTTATTTCTTGCTTTGTAAGAACTCAGTGTTTGTTTATAATGGCTGATGAACTGTAGTGGCTTGTATTGACTTAGTGGCATTTGCATTTATTTCTGCAGAGTGTAAGGAGTATTATTCAAAGTATTATTTATATTTGTTTCCATTAATCAATTAGTTGTGCTCGTCAATCATTAAATTATCTAAAATAAATTATCTAAAACAAATAAAAAATAAATAAATAAAACATACCAATGAAGCATAAGAAGCATCAATATTATAGCACATAGAAATTTAAAGGATATTTTTGATTCTACCTGTATTTATTATTTTTTCATTTATGCATGTGGATTTTACAGACAAAATTATGTTGACTCCTTGCTTGTAGAGCATAGTATATTTCAAAAAAGTGTTTATTTTTGTTTAGCCTAATTTTTATGTATGTTCAGTATTTATAAACTAATATTATTACTTTTTTAACCTTTAGAATACCATGCATTTAAGTTAAAAGTATGAAATAAAAATATTTTTTGGAAATAATTGAAATGTCATACCATGTAGACATTTTTGCACACAAGCAAAATGCTCTGTCATTATATTTTGGATGGGTTGGCATCGTCTTGCACTGTTTGGCATATTCATTACACATTTGAATCTTGTCATCTGTGATTTTATTTTCAGCTAGAAATTTTTTTTAATTAAGGACTTTTTAAATAAATAATTTTATGTACGGATAAATTTTAGTAAATTTCTAAGTAATACTCATAGCTCCCTTAATATTTTTTAGTGTTCGAGCAGAAAAGTATGTTGTCTTATAATTTTACTAAAATATAGCGCATGCTCACTATCTTGTTAAGGCTTGTTCAAATTATTTACAGGGTGTATCGTAATCACCTCTCTTAATGTATATATTTTTTAAATATCAAAAATAAAGTAACAAAATACATTAGCGATCATTAATTAATATTTAAGTAAAGAAAAAAAAACTGTTGAAATTTATCAAAGCCCTTGTGAGAAAGGTATATCAAATTCTCTTAATACCAAATGAAAAAGGGAATTATATGAATTTCCTCTGAGTTTAATCAAACAGTTATGTATAAAAATAACTATCGTGAATTCATAGTAAATTACTCCCTAAAAATTGTGATTTCTTATGGAGACAGTGTTATTGAAAAATAATAATAATGGTAAAGAAAATATTGTATGTACCAAGAAAATCATCCTAAATTGTTGGACTTACTGTATATCTCGGTGTGTAAGTCAACATTTTAATCTCCAAATATTTTAATCCTTAACGAAAATCGGGGGTTGATTTATACACCAGTAATAAAATTACATTCATTGTTCATGATATATCGATGCATTATAAACAATGTGATAGATATGAATAACTATTTACCCTTTTCAAAAACTATTTTAACTATATATAAAAAATTTTTTATTTTATCTCTTTACATAAAATCGATATTTTTAGAAACAAAGTTTTAAATTAAGTTGAGAAGAAAAAAATAATAAGAAGAAAAGTTCAGATATTTCATTCAAAAGTATTTAAAAAACTATGAAACAATGGAAACTTTTAAAACATGCCATAAAGTTACAAATTTAAAGATTGAAAATATCTATGTTGGATTCGATAGCATTAGCAGTTTCGTTATACAGACTACACTCTGCAGTGGGTTCTACTTCATCCTCTGCCGAGTCCCACAAAAAATCTTCACCCCAGGCAAGGAATTCGAACTATAAACGCATTTCAAAAGATTTGTCAATAACATTTTAATCCACATTTTTCCTCACGTCTAGTAAGTATCATTTGACACATGACGTCTATAGGAACAGCGAGGAAACTTCTTGATTTCTTAAGTATGTGAAATTGAGACAATTTTATATAAATATTTTTTTATGCCTTTACATTTTAGAAAGTTTTATATATGTAACATAAAAACCTTCAATTAATCTTTTTATATTAGTTATATTCTGAATATCCTTTTATTTTATTAATCTAATCTAAATGCTTTCTCACACTTTTAAATTCACATCCTGTCCTTAAAACTATTTTTGGCTCAACTATACATTAATTAAAAGCAGGACATTTCCCCCTTTAATCTTCGTGGGAATCACTCGACCTATTTCATAAACCAATAGTAATTTCTAAGATTTCCCGGAATAGAGACATTTACGGATTTTACTTTGCTAGATTTTCCCTAACATACAACCGAAGAGCGGAACTTTTCGTACACACTTTCATGACTGCTCTGTCTAATAATTAATAAATAAATTTTGTACCCTCCTTCCCGGCCTAAGACCTGTTTAATCCTTCCACTCGGCAACGACTTTATATATATATATATATATTTTCAGTGTTAGACTTATAAACCCGATATACCAGAAATTTGATATCTCGTAATCAAAAATAGGGAAAAAATCATGATATTTATTAGGAACTTACTTTCTTCATTTAGTGTTTTGACGAGTGCAATGTAGTAGTATATTTGAGCAATGACATCATCGCTTTGTAAAACTGCGTCTTGAAGCTGATTCACTATCTCCACGCACTTATCAAAGCTATAACAAAAATGTATGAATTAAAAACGAATCCACTGGTTCTGATTTATGAGTAAACACGCTCTAAAGTAATGTCTATAATAATTAGTTTTATTACACTTATTTTCTTTCGCAAGTTAATCAGATTTATTAACTTTATGTAGTTATTGATTGATACTTATATATTTTGTCTGTTCCATTGCCCACATACTTATTTTCAGAATTTTTGCCAAAAATTTACTAAAATTTATTTATTTATTTATTGTTGGAAAAAATAAAACTACTATAAAAGTCTGACAAATCAATATTGAAGAAAAGTAGTGTTGTTTCTGATATCCCTTGCCAATACCAGCAAGCCTGCTTGTTGAAATCAATCGAATTTAAGGTAGGGTGTGTTTCTTGTTTTTCAGTAGAGCCATCTACGGCCACACACAAGTCACAGATCATTTATAGGACGTACCCATTCATTCATCCACAGATCGTAATTTTGACCTGAACCAGAGAACAATCAATCTCCAATTCAGTACTCTCAGAGGTATGATTTGTTATAGGAACATGAAGAACATTGTGACCCGTCAGATTTAATGTGCACCAATCACCGTTTACTACACCGGTGATCGATTGAACTCACGTCCTTCCGAACATGAGCCCAATGCCCTACCAACCAGGCTATTCCTGCCCCGAAGGTGAGAGCAAAAACACCAATCCTTTTTGATTACAGGTTAAAACTTGAAGATTTTTCTAATAATTGTCTTTCAACTTTCTTCCCAGTTTTTTTAATTTACACTGACAATCAGATTTCGATATTTTATCCAACTTTGATCAATTCCTCAATTCGTAATATTTCGATAATGTTTTTTTTTTTTTAAGCTTAAAATTAATACCAATGTATTTGCTCTTTTGATTGCATTTCTGGAAAGGATTCTAAAAACATATATTAAGCGCTATGATTACAGTATATTATTCAGGTAACGATGATTGGCTTAATATTAGATCGTCGATTTATGAATTGTTTTTGTCAACTTTAACAGTTTATAATGTGACTTTGGCTAAAATTTTTTACCGTTCTTTTTCTTTTGTTTAAAAGTTATTTATCTGATCAGCTTCATTGCAAGCACTAAAAATTTTAAAGACACTTCTTAGAAAATTAAATTTTATTGAATAGAAATTGGTCCAAAATTATGAGCACGAGTTCTTACGTGGAACTGAGGCATCGCCGACCACCTGAGACATTAATAATGTATTTGGATCTAGTTTTAGTTGGTTTGAGAGGACGCTATATTGCTGAAGAAAAAAAATAATTCAAAATATCATGGGGCGAACAAATTATTCGAAGATAACTTCCCTTTGCGTAATCCTCCCATAATTTGATTTTTTCTTGATAGTTCGAAAATTTCTTCGCAATATTTGAAATTTCAAGGTTTACTCTAGATTGGCCTGAACTCACTTTTTCTGTACTTCAAATTATTCATGGAAATGAAAGAAAATTTGAGATGAAAAGTTATGGCCTCCTGTTGTCAGTGATTGGTGCACTAGTGCAGGCGTGATTTTCTATGATGTGTTGCTCATCGATCACAATTTACAATACCAATACTATACTTAAACTAACTATCAAAGTGATTAAAATACACAAAGAAGAAATAGCAGCCTACATTGGCTGACATATGGGTCATTCTCACGAAAACTGTCATTTTTCAGTTCATAAAATCCCAAAAAAGTAAAGTGAANGAAACGAATAAAAAATGAATTAAGAAGTACAATGCTTCAAGAGAGATTAAATAGTTTGTCGCTGATGTCCATAGAATGTGATATTCTCAATACCATAGATTTTGAAGAAGTGATTAACGATTTTGCTCATCTTAAATCTAGAAGGGTACCTTTGCAATCAACATAGAATTAATCTAAGGATTTTAAGTTAAGCGAGTTACTTTTGTAGATTATTTTTTATATTTCCTATTTTTTTATAGCTAGTAACTAAATAAAAATAAATTTAGAACCTTGTTTGTCTTTCTTTATCTATTGTAACTAAATAGTGTTTTCTCAAGGTCATAGGGGCCCCATGATCCTAATGTGCCCAGGGCCTCAAATAGTTTAAAGACGGCCCTGGATTCGATAATGTTAGCAGTTTCGTTATACGGACTACACTCTACAGTGGATTCTACTTCATCTTCTGCTGAGTCCTACAAAAAATCTTCACCCCATACAAGGAATTCGAACTATAAACACATTTCAAAAGATTTGTCAATAACATTTTAGTCCACATTTTTCCTCACGTCTAGTATCATGTGACACATGACGTCTATAGGAACAGCGAGGAAACTTCTTGATTTCGTAAGTATGTGAAATTGAGACAATTTTATATAAATATTTTTTTATGTCTACATTTAAGAAAGTTTTATATACAGGGTTATTCATGACTAATACTATAACGCTTCGAAACCCTCCGGGGTTTCGAAGCGTTATAGTAAAAAAAACGAAGACGAATATGGCAAAAAAGAACATATGAAATTATTCCGAAAGTATTCAAGTTTTAATTTAAGCAGTTGCCGGTAGATGTCAGTAACATGTACCAGAAAGACAGTTGTAGTAAAGAAAAAGGGCGTTTACAGGCGAAGGGAATTATGAATAACCCTGTATACATATTTTTTTTCAGTGTTCGATTTATAAACCCAATACACCAGAAATTTGATATCTCGTAATCAAAAATAGGGAAAAATCATGATATATATTAGGAACTTACTTTCTTCATTTAGTGTTTTGACGAGCGCAATGTAGTAGTATATTTGAGCAATAACATCATCGCTTTGTAAAACTGCGTCTTGAAGCTGATTCACTATCTCCACGCACTTATCAAAGCTATAACAAAAATATATGAATTAAAAACGAATCCACTGGTCTGATTTATAAGTAAAACGCTCTAAAGTGATGTCTATAATAATAATTAGTTTTATTACACTTATTTTCTTTCATAAGTTAATCAGATTTATTAATTTTATGTAGTTATTGATAAATAGATACTCATATATTTTGTCTGTTCCGTTGTCCACATATTTATTTTCAGATTTATATTTACAGATTTTTTGTCAAAAATTTATTAAAAAATGTTTTTCTATTTATTCTTATAAAAAATAAAATTACTATAGAAATCTGACAAATCAATATTGAAGAAAGTGAGTGTTGTTGTTTCTGATGCCCCTTGCCAATACCAGCAATCCTGCTTGTTGAAACCAATCCAATTTAAGGTAGAGGGTGTGTTTCTTGTTTTTCAGTAGTGCCATCTACGGCCACACACAAGTCACAGATCATTTATAGGGCGTACCCATTCATTCATCCACAGATCGTAATTTTGACCTGAACCACAGAACAATCAATCTCCAATTCAGTACTCTCAGAGGTATGATTTGTTATAGGAACATGAAGAACTTTGTGACTCGACAGATCTAATGTGCACCAATCACCGTTTACTACACCGGCGGTCGATTGAACTCACGTCCTTCCGAACATGAGCCCAATGCCCTACTAATCAGGCTATTTCTTCCCCGAAGGTGAGTGCAAAAACATCAATCATTTCTGATTACCGGTTAAAACCTGAAGACTTTTCTAATAATTGTCTTTCAACTTTCTTCCCAGTTTTTTTTAATTTGCACCGACAATCAGATTTCGATATTTTATCCTACTTTGATCAATTCCTCAATTCGTAATATTTCGATAACGCTTTTTTTATTTTTAAGCTTAAAATTAATACCAATGTATTTGCTTTTTTAATTGCATTTCTGGCAAGGATTCTAAAAACACATATTAAGCAGCTATAGTATATTATTCAGGTAACGATGATTGGCTTAATATTAGAAATCGTCGAGGATGAAATTTGTAAATTGTTTTTGTCAACTTTAACAGTTTATAATGTGACTTTGGCTCAATTTTTTAGAGTTCTTTTTCTTTTGTTTAAAAGTTATTTATCTGATCAGCTTCAATGCAAAAACTGAAAATTTTAAAGACACTTCTTAGAAAATTAATTTTATTGAATAGAAATTGATCCAAAATTATGAGCATGAGTTCGTACGTGGAACTGCGGCATCGCCGACCACCTGAGACATTAATAATGTATTCGGATATAGTGTTAGTTGGCTTGAGAGGACGCTATATATACCGCAGGAGAATTTTTAAGTACGCAGCGTAGTTTCAATTGCTGAAAAAAAAAATCAAAATGCGAACAAATTATTGGAAGATAACTTCCCTTTGTGTAATCCTCTCATAATTTGTTATCCTCTTGTTAGTTAGAAAATTTCTTCACAATATTTCAAATTACATGGTTTACTCTAGATTCGCCTGAACTCACTTTTTCTGTACTTCAAATTATTCGTGGAAGGGAAAGAAAATTTGAGATGAAAAGTTATGGCCTCCTGTTGTCAGTGATTGGTGCACTAGTGCAGGCGTGATTTTTTTATGATGTGTTGCTCATCGATCACAATTTACAAATGAAATATACTTAAACTAACTATCAAAGTGATGAAAATACACAAAGAAAATAGCAGAAGGGCCGGGATAGCCTGGTCGGTAGGGCGCTGGGCCCATATCCAAGAGGTCGTGAGTTCGATCCTCGCCGGCCGAAGACTCCCCGTGTAGTAAATGGTGACTGATGCACGTTAAATCTGTCGAGTCTCAAAGTCCTCCATGTTCCCACAACAAATCAATACCTCTGGGGGTACTGATCCAGGAGTTTCCTTGTCTTCTGGATTGGGTTCAAAATTACAAGGCTACGGAGTTGAACGTAAGTAGTCGTAAACCCATGAAATTGGGTCGGCTGTTCAACGACGGTTATAAAATAAAAAAGAAAATAGCAGCCTACATTGGCTAACATATGGTAATCTGTTTCATTTCATGGCCTTGTCAAACAGATAATTGCACAAATGATGGCAAAGCTGCTGTACTGCCATCACTGTCTGCCACTTCTTTTGAAATTTACACAATTTTTTAATAGGAAAACAATCTAATTCCGAAAATTTTGTCATTTCATCCACTTTGATCAGTGATGGCTCTGGTCATAGAGCGTTCGCCTTCCAAAGAGGTGAACCGGTTTCGAACCCAGAGATGACTTGTCGATACAAATTCCGCATTCGGCTTGTACCGACCACAGTGCTGAGGTAAAATATCTTCTGTGGTAGACGGATCATGGGTTAGAGTCCCCTTGTCATCAGGCTAACCGTGGGAGGGATTCATGGATTTCTTCTCCATGTAACGCAAATGCGTATTAGTACCATGAAAAAAAGTCTTCCACGAATTAAAATTTCTTCCAATACTTGATCCAGGAGTTCCCTTGTCTTCTGGATTCAGTTCAAAATTACAAGGCTACGGAGTTGAACATTAGTAGTCGTAAACCCAAAATTAGGTCGGCTGTTTAACGGCGGTTGTAAAATAAAACAGTTCTATTAATTTTCTGAAATAAATTTTCAAGCGTAGGTTTATTCTAAAACATGTTCAAATTTTCAACTTACTTCTGCAGATAATCGTATATCAAAGCCATGAGACCCAAGATACGAGACAAGGCTTTTTGATTTTTTACAATTTTCATCAATTCATAAGCCTTACGTCCTATCAAAGAAATGACATAAAATTTATTTTATTTAAGTAATAATGGTACACAATAAATAAATTATACAATCTTCATTCTTCCATAGCACAATAGAACCGAAGCATATTATTTCTGTTTAAACGTGCCTTACATTTTTAAATTATAATTAACATTTAGAGCTACACTGATCTCCAATAGTTAAGTATATTTGATGTTTACTTGAATATTTAAGGAAAACTAAGTCAGAATCGTTGGAAATTTTATATGCAGGTATAATATGGCTATACCATAAGAAAACAATGCAAAAGATTGGTTTTAATCGCTTTTGTTATCTAAAGAAACGTTTTGAAAGAAAATAGTGCAAACTATTAGTTTATACTTGAACGAAAAAAAAAATTAAAATAAATAGGCTATTTGACAATTTAATATGGTGTTTTATCACTTTCGTTAGTTATGTATGTTGCACGATTATTTCTCTTATACTCTATGAGGTATGGATAAGTTGTATCCTCAAAGGGTTCTAAGCATTACGGAGGGCTTTTTCAATTCTGTCGCGTAAGATCAGTAATTCGTATGCCACGCACATTTCACTAATTCTCAACGAAATTAAGATCAAGAGAGTGAGTAGGCAGATGCATGCGCTGAATATTTTGGCTTTTTCAGAAAAGTTTTCGACCAAGATCAAACGGTTATAAGACACGCTATCATCCTTGTTCAAAGACTTGGTCTCTACCTTTCAGAAGAAACAGACTCCGTATCTGAAAGATGTATGTCTATGTACTTCTAGCATTGTGCCGACCAACACCGTGACCCCCCTAATGTCTTTCCGTGACATTTCTTGCTTGAAAACGTGTCCCACGTTTTCTCTATATCATTAAGTGACAAGAATCAGAGTTCGTCACTGAACATAATTTTGACCCACTGCTGCGAACTCCGATGTTTCAAATGCCTTATCAAGCTGTCTGACATATTGACCAGAATGTCTGAGTCTCCTATAAGCTGTTCGTAATCAGAAACTGAGCGGTGAACTGAGTTCTCTGGTTCAACTGTGTCTCTGATATCGCGCAATTATTGCTAAATATGGGTCTTGATGATCAGTTGTTACTCTTGATCGACCTAAACAGGTAGTTGCTAACAATTTCTGTACTTTAAAACCCTTATATTGTCTTGAAATCACACATTGAGGCAGATTCAGAATATGAGACACCGGTTTGAAATCATCCACAATTCACGATTCCAATTATTTTTCCATTTGAAAACATGTCCATTTGGTATTTTCGTCGAATTCTTCAGCCTTTTTGATCGCTTAACTCATTCTCCAGCACAATTGCACGTAACCTACCTGATCTCCACATGGCACGTGAGTTGGTTTCTTACTCATTTTGACGATGTGAAGACCTCAGAAACAAACAAATGTAAATAATCACTGTAAAAAATGTTGGTGCGTAGTTGCCACCATGTTGAGGTAAACTAAACTCTTTTACAGTGCATGTAGTCACGATTTTTTAATTACTTTTTTCTCTGCTATGGTTTTATTTATTCACTGACAACACATATTTCATGCGCATTATGGCATATTATGACAACATTGTAACTCCAATGTAAAACTTCCTTATTTGTTTAACGATATAATGTTATTTTTAAAAAAAAAAATGGTTCAAAAATTCCATGGTTCTACTTGAAAAAAGAATTTGTTTAATTTCATTTTGAAAACTGACTCAATTTTTAGTAATATATAAATTATTTACTAATTCTTTCGAACAATTGTCAATTTACATGTATACATCAATTTACAATTAGGCAAAAGTTGGAACAAAAAGATTACTACAAAACATTCATCTTCAATTTAGTACTTACCCAGTTCCTCAGCTACTTCGAGTTCTGCTTTCTCTAATGAAAGTCGTATGATTGTTATAAAAGCTTTAGCTACAACATTGATTTCTGTTATGTCTAACACAGGATAATCGATGAGTCGCCGAAAACATCTGAGAAAATATATAAGTTACAATAAATGTATGAAATACGAAATTCTATGGAATGCCTAGTCATTTTATAGAATGCCAAAAATTGAGCGGCTAAATATGAAATGATTAATGTTTCACACGATGCCTAGGTATTCCATTAATGACGTAAGGCATGAAATAATGAATATTTTACGAATTGCGAAGGCTGAGCCGTGATTGCTCAGGGGATAGAGCGTTCACCTTCCATTGAGGTGAACCGGGTTCGAATTCCAGCGATGGCTGGTCGATACAAATTCAGCACCCGGATTTCATCGACCGCAGTTCGAGACGTAAAATATCTTCAGCGGTAGACGGATCATGGGTTTGAGTTCACTTCCCGTCAGGCTAACCGTGGGAGGTTTTCGTGGTTTACTTCTCCATGTAACGCAAATAAGTTGCTTGCTTAGATTGGATGCAGACATCCGCTCTTTATGTGCGTTGTTCATTTGTTGTACAAGTGCTTTGTGCTAGTTTTGATTCTTTTCAAGTTTTTATTTTTTAAGATTCTTAACCTTAAAAAAACATCAGTATAGGGGTATACCGGGTAGAGGCGATTATTAATAATAACCGTATTCCTTGAACTGAAATTTTCATTATTTGTAAAGATATTAAAATTTATGAACTCAAAATTTCATAAATCATTATTCATAAATCGATATGATAGTATATATATAAATATTTAAAAAAAATCAATTATAACTCTTAAAGCAATTATTTTAAATTAAAACATAAGAAAAAATGCGTATTTGTCCTTAATTTTTCTTATTCTACGTGAAACATGACGATAGAGTTATTATAAGAGCACATAGACTTATAAAAAATTATGTTGGATTTGAAAGTTTAATAGATTATGGTTAATTAACCCATTAAAGGTCAACGTCCATATTAACTTTCGTCAAAAATACAATGACTGATAACTTATTTCATTCTTGAAATTTATCATGGAAGAATGAAACATTAGTAATCACCATATTATAAATATGCATATTTTAATCTGAAGACTGATAAGCACATTGCATATTTTAAAATATGGTATCCTTCACTAAGAAATTTTGGAATAATCTGAACTTAAACGTCCCAATCACTTTATTCGATAAGTGCTTTTTACGTTAAGACAAAATATTGTATTTTCGCATCAGTTGTCTTAAATAGGCTAATCACACTGGTAAACTTAATTGGAAATGATTAATAATCATTTGTTAGCGAAAGTGATTAACGTGCATAATATAAAACATTTACAAAATAAAATAAAACGTGGTTATTATAATAATCATCGGTTATTATTTACCAGATTTAATATTTTAACCGTATTACTTACATTTTTAATTGAAACTTACTGTTGTTCGATTTCACTTGAGTATTTTTTTGTGGCAGATTCTCTGCTTTTTCCTGGTTTCGATTTCGCTACGGCGTTGAGGGCACCTGTCTTCGTTAAAATAATCTGGTGTAGAAATAGACGACTTGTTAAAATAATCAACTCAAGCGTTACACATACAATAGTTTTTATTGCAAAAAATACTGTTTTTGTTTTAATTTCTTATTTATCCTACTTAATCACCAAAAAATAAAAATCGTTAAAAATAAATTAATTAAAATTTTTTTATTCCAGCAGCTCAGTTGTTGAAACATCACCATTTCTTTACGAGTCGTCCTAACTCTCGTTTCTGGTTCGCAAACGCAAAAAAAGTTCTAGTTTCTAGTTCATTTTCACAGAATTCAATTATCAGGTTTTCATTTTTCATGAGGATTTTAATTTTTTAACGAAAGTTTCAGTTAGATTGTTGAAATTTATCGGTCCTTTCATGTGATTTAGCTCAGTTATTAGTATTTCTCCGTTCCATCAGGAGATTTGGAGACTAAAATCTAACTTTTCTTTTCTGATGAAGATTATCGCCTGGTCACATTTGCAGCTTAGTCATTAGAAGTTTGCCTTTCTTGCACAAGATTTATCTCATACACACCAGTTTTATCTCGATACTCAATCCTTCAATGTTACTTTTTTAATAGGAACGTTCGCTTCATTTCAAAAGCTGCTTTTTTTGGGCAGAAAAAAATTCATGACAGTTTGAAAAGTATTTGACTGTTCTTTTTGTCCTAATTTGATGAAGTTATCTCAAAGTTTACCTTATAATCCTTCCCTCCATTACTTTTTAAAAGTGTAAATAATAATTATTATGTTCATATCCAAGATTGGTCTAAAAACGCAGGAAAAATACGGGAAAAAATTAGTTACAATTTAAGGGAGTCAAACCCACTTGGTCACTTAGCGTAACTGCGAAACTGCGTGCATAATGTCATAAATTGATTTATACTCAACGTAATGTAAACAATAGAATCTTTGCAATAATTAACAACTAATCATCGAAAATAGAAGGCGCTAAATTAACGAAGCCATAGGCTGAGAAACAGCATGTCCTTCAGCGTCAAAACTAGCACAGATTTTTGGTTAATTTCTTTCATTTACTAAGACAAGCACCTTTTTAGATGTGGAAAGCAGGTTTCAAAGCTAAATTATAGGATCCTTTACCACGGGAGAAACTTTTCTTCGCAAATTCTGTTTCACCCCCATTACTAGTTTAATATTTAACGGAAAAAAATGGGTTTTCAATTGCTGAAAAAAATTTCAAAATATCATAACGAAAACAAATTATTGGAAAAGAACTTAACAATTGCGTAATCCTTTCATAATTTGTTTTCATTTTCTTTTTAATTTTTTTAAGTACTTGAAACTTTATTGTTTACTTTAGATGTGCCTTAACGCTGTTTTTTTCTAAGCTTTGTCGTCAAGGAAAATAAAAAAGACAGTTTAAGTGCCTTACACTTGAAACAATGCGATGATTTTATACTATATATATAATCTTGCCGTTATTAAACTTTTTAAAAATCTCAAATTTAGCTGCATTTTTTCCACTTAGATGAAAATTATCAAAACCACTGCCTTAGTCTCAGTTTTTTGAAATTTTTATAAGCCCAAATAATGCATCATTGGAGTAAGTTTTTAAATATAAAAAATTTAGATGACAAACGCTGTTCATTTTTACAAAATTGTCACTTTTCTCCATATTGACGTTATACGCCATTTTTTTTTTAAAAAAAGACGTAAGATAGGCTAAACTTGAATTAACAGTCATGAGTAACAGTTACAAACTTACAACAATTAAAAAAATAGCACATTTTTGGCAAAATGGTACAATTTCCTATTACGACGGAGCCTTCGAAAATCAACCTTAACTCATTTTTTCTTTACTTTAAATTTTAAATTATTCATAGAAGTGAAAGAATTTGAGATGAAAAGTTTCTAGCTTCCACTTAAGTAATCAATTTCAATAAAGACATTAGTTGCATTTGAAATTTTTGGAATGAATATATTTTTTGAATCAATTCTGCGACTATTAAAAATGGCAAATTATAAGATCCGAATTTTATTATCTATTGTTTCTCTGAGCTGGAAAATGTGTGTGGAATCAAAATCTAACGGAAGGAAATGGAAGCTTATACTTACTTCATCGAAAGTATAACCTTCTTTCAAGAGGAATTTAAGTTGTAGTTTAGCCAAATCGTAAGCAAAGTCGTAATCACCCAATGCCATTGTTATAAAACTACCAACTCCTAAACACTTCACTTCTTCTCTTCCTAAAGTCCCATCAAATCTACAAGAAATAATTGAAATAAAAACACTTAATATGCGTAAACCCTTTAACGTAACTTATTGTTGAAAAAGGAAATGCGGCTTATTAGCATTGCTATAAAAATTCTCATAAGTATGACAGCAACTTGATGAAAAAGGGAACTTTTTACCCCAGGTTAAACATTTTTCTTAGGAAAAGTATTCTTAATTTGCATTATTTGAATAAATAAATAGTCGTAAATTTGATCCAAATCCAAAAATATTTTTTGCCCAAAATAAAACAAAAACGTTGGAAATGTTTTCTAGGAAGTAGGGAATGAGGAAGGAGAATTGCATTGCAACCCAAATCCCGAAACGTTCGCCTACGTCGTTAGGGTTACGTCCTTATTATGAACTGGCTGTTATTGCGAATTTGCAACGATTCATTAATTTATCTTAATTTTCATATTTTTATTAATTGTTGTCTAAAATTTTATTCAAATAATCTTAACATAAGTAATTTTTTCTTAATTTAATGATTTAGTGACTAATCAGCGTGTTTGTCAAATTACGATGAAAAAAAAATATTTCTAGGCCAATTTAGGCAATAATTACAATTTTAGGAAATAATTAATAGGAAACGTAATATTTGTATATTATCAAGATAATGTAGATAAATAAAAGTACTATTTCAGTTCATTATTGGAAGTCACCCTAGTGGCGTACAGTGATATTTCTGATCTTGGGTTCCGATACACTCACTCCTTATATGGTCAATTACTTTACTATTTAAGCAATTGTTATGAAATCGGAAAAAAATCTTTTGTTATTAATTATAAAAAAATGATACAAAAATATGGTTAATGTTTTTAAGAAAAAATGTAAAACTAATATTAAAAGATTAAATTTAGTTTGACTTAAGATTCTCAAATTGCACTATTTTTTAAAACCGTTTATTCAAAAAACATTTAGTGTTTTATTCCTAAAAGTAGGCATAAAGGGCATTTCTAAAGCATAATTTATTTTATATTGGTAGTGCAAGTAGGCTGTAGTAGAATTTTTATTCAGCAGGGGCACCCTTTCCTTGCAGATGGGGGCTTCATACATTTTGATTGATAACTTTTTCACCTAAATTTCTATGTTTACTAGCTATACCAAATATTTTTTTAAATTTAAACACTAGTATCAATAAATGTATTAGTATAAATAACTTATATAGAATAAATATTTACCTTAATTTATAAAATTTAATTTTTTTCAAAATGGCGCTGCTTGGAGGGGTCCATCCCCACCTGCCACCCTATAGCTGAGTGTAAGTTGTGCATAAATATTAAAATATTTTATAACATGGATATGAAGGCTTAGTGCTTTTTAACATTAGTGTAAATTAAGCGAAACACTCCCGCAAAGGCCAGTTGTCGGTCAGTGAGGTTATGAAGGCAAAAACTGAAGATCAATGGTCTGATGGACAAATGTGGTCAGCTTGAGCATCGGTACTTTTACTTTCCAGACAAGCTGGTTATCATTGATTTGAAATTGGGTGGGCTTACAAATCTTCATCGAGAATAAAATCTCAGCTCTACACCATAACAGCTCAGTGCTCTAAACATTCTGCCATCACGACTCTAATATTAGAAGACTGAGACAGTCTTAATTTATATGATAGCAGATGATCGTGAAGAAGAAAAAAATTTACTTTATTATTTGGCGATGTTTTAAATGGTATGGAAAGGAAGAAAAACTTACTTCTTTTTCTTATAGATGTTTTGTTTTATATCTGCTGGAAAAGTGATGCCCATTAATAGCATAGCTTGCTTCAAATATCGCAAAGCTTCGGTATTTTTACCCAGCTTCATTTTAAGCTGCAAGATAAATGGACAATTTCGAATGTTCGAAAGTATAATTTTAGCTTTTATTACATAAAGCGGGACCCATGCATTTGTAATATAAGTTAAAAGTATATTTCAGACTATTTAAACTTTCAAAAAATTACATTTCTTATTTTTACATAATTCAATGAATCTTTAATTGATAGAATTTTTTTTTATTACTAAATTATTTTTAAATTGCTATTCAGGAGTGTATGAGCAGAACCTTTTTGTGAAGTTTTGACTAGACTCAAACTTCCACTGTTTGCTCATCATTGCTTTTGAATATACACGTTTCAANAGTCAATGGTGCAAATGGTTTAATATCTGATTTAATCTCATGTAATTTATTGTTTATTTCATTATTCCAGTTGGCCTGTCTGAGTTGGGTAAGAGATTCTGCAACTAAATTTCGAATGTCAGGTAAACAGTGTGGTTTACTCGTAAGATTGTGGGTCGATTTGGCTATTGAGTCTGCTGTTTCGTTACCTTTAATGCCCATATGTCCAGGAATCCAACCAAATATATTATAATTATTTTTAAATTGCTATTCGCGAGTGTATGAGCAGAACCTTTTTGTGAAGTTTTGACTAGACTCAAACTTCCACTGTTTGCTCATCATTGCTTTTGAATATACACGTTTCAATCGTTTCCTGATCTCTAAAAGTATAACTTATCATCAGATTTTTGCAATCAGAATTTTGATGACTTACTGATTTTAAAATTTCAACCGAAGCTCTATGTGTTTGATGACAATATAGGTTTGCACCGCAGCAAGCAGAATTCCTTCTTCTATGTAAATGTTTCTATTTTTGTAAAAATTCTACATATAAATGACATATACAGGGTCTCTGCAAGATTACAACTGAATTTTCCGAAGGCATATTAACTTACATTGTTCCGCGGGGTGGCGCAATAAGAGAAATGAATATGGCTATATGATAAATCGCATACATGGTCAACCGCAATGAAGCATTGGAGTATAGTATAATGTGTTATCTGAGTTCGTAGTTATTGTGAAATCTGTGTGTTTTATTAGACAACCCTTTAATGTTGCTTATTTTGATAATGGATTCTAAAAAGAACGTGAGTACAAGAGATATATTCAGAACATTCAGGAACTTAAACATGTCTTCGTTATTCAGAACATTAAGGAACTTATACATGTCTTCGTTGACGAAGTTGCAACTATTGAGAATATCTATTGTCTATTAGAGCTTGCTCTACAAGTTCCAAAGGTGTTTACAAGAGTGCATCAATAACTTATTTTTCCGAAACGATTAATGACATGTAATTATTACGACATGCGATTAATAAACGATTAATGACAATAAATGACATGCTTCACAGCAATTATAAATTATAAAACCCTTTTTTTTTATTCTATCAATGTTTCTTGTTTTCAATTGATAAATCTATGGTCGTTTAGAAGATATCAGTAGGTTTAGCGCCATCTTATATTAAAGCCATTCATTACAAAAAAAATTATTGTTTTCTTTTTTTTAATTTAAATTTATGAACAAAAATCATAAATTTAAAAACTTTGAATCCTAATAGAATAATTTTCGGTACATAAAACAGCGGTTGATTGCTACGTACAAGGGGTGATCAAATGAAAAGGTACGAAACGACGTAAAAGCGTAACAGTTAAATATTTGCATATTCCGGTATGGGAGAACGTAGCGAGACATCTCGGGATGCGATTGGAGTCTCTGACTGGGATCGGAGCATGCGCTGGTGCCCGCATGAGCAGGAGAGAGCAGAGGCTCTTATCAGAAGCGGCGTCCAAATGATGCGGCAGTCCGTATGAGGACTGGATGGCGTTCGCGTTGCAAAATTCGACGATTGAGGAGCAGCGAGGCGTTATCCGATTTCCTCGAGCACAGAAAAACCATTAAGTCCGATGTGTACTGTGAGACACTCTGACGCCTACGCAGGTCCATCAAGAACAAAAGACCGGGGCTGCTCAAGTAGAGTGTGGTTCTGCTCCATGATAAAGCGCGTCCACACGTCGACAGTTTCACACGCATGGAACTGGCCAGGTTCAAGTGGGAGACGTTGGACCATCCGCCCTACAATCCGGACTAGTCGCCCTGCGATTTCCATGTGTTTGGTCCACCTGAAAGGGAAGCTATTCTACTCGGACGACATACTCAAGGACGCTGTGAAGGACTGGATCTCGTCAAGACCACAGGAATTCTGGGAACAAGGAAGGCAGTGGGCTCTTAAGCACAGAGACTGGCGAGCTGATTGGCACCAAGTTGTCTTTTCAGATGAATCACGCTTCAATTTGTAGACCCATGATGGCCGTGTTCGTGTTAGACGTTATGCCGGTCAACGCNTTCTAAAAAGAACGTGAGTACAAGAGATATATTCAGAACATTCAGGAACTTAAACATGTCTTCGTTATTCAGAACATTAAGGAACTTATACATGTCTTCGTTGACGAAGTTGCAACTATTGAGAATGTCTATTGTCTATTAGAGCTTGCTCTACAATTTCCAAAAGTGTTTACAAGAGTGCATCAATAACTTATTTTTCCGAAACGATTTATGACATGTAATTATTACGACATGCGATTAATAAACGATTCATGACAATAAATGACATGTTTCACAGCATTTATAAATTATAAAACTTTTCCATTCATTCTATCAATTTTTCTTGTTTTCATTTAATAAATCTATGGTCGTTTAAAAGATATCAGTAGGTTTAGCACCATCTTATATTAAAGCCAGTCATTACAACAAATATTATAGTTTTATTTTCTTTTTTATTTAAATTTATGAACGAAAATGATAAATTTAAAAACTTAGAATCCTATTTGAATAAATTTCGGTACATAAAACAGCGGTTGATTGCTGCGTAGTTTAAAAAAATACGTCTAAAAAGCCAAGTGAAATCTTTATAATTTTGCGCAAGAAAGTACAATATTGATTTACCTGAGCTCTTAGTCGGCTAATAGTTACTTTATCCGAAGAAACTTGAACTGCATCTGCCTCTTCAGCTGATTCAGCAACGCTTACCAAACGTTTGGCTTTGTTAATGATATTCTCTACCTGTAGAAATTTAAATCCTTATTACGTACCTCATATTCTATAAGGTGACTCAAAAGATATTGAATTCTCCTTTTAGCAAAACAAAGTTTTTTTGTTTAATAATAACTGCGTATAATAATAACTATATCATATGTTAATAACTACATTATTTCCTGATTGTAAAAATCACGAGAAAAAAAAAACCATTCATTGAATGCTCCAACCTAAATAAGTTTTGGGATTTAGTAGAAAATATCATTGCATGAAAAACATAATAGATATTATTATTAAACTGGTTATTAAAAATGCACAATTAGAATAATAAAACTATGTCCAAAAATTTGAATAATAATAACTACATATGATAATAACTATATTACCATTAATTACTACATTATTTCATGATAATAAAAATCACAAAAAAAAACCTCTTCATTGAATGCTCCGAAATAAACAAATTTTGGAATTTAGTAGAAAATATCATTGCAAGAAAAACATAATCGATATTTTTATTAAACTGGTTATTAAAAATGCACAGTTAGACTTATATAACTGTGTCCAAAAATATGAAGGATTTTGAGGTAATTTTTGTTATTTTTTATTTATCAAATTATTAGCTAGATTTTTTAGAATCGGGTGGGCTTTGATAGCTGCCGTTTTTAATTTTATCGAAATTTCGAATATGGGATGTAAAACTTTTAGATTTTGATTCGTGTGTTTTGATTCAGATAAAAAATGCTTTTTTTCTGAATGTTTTTTTTCTGAATGTTTTGGGGATTCAAAATTGAAGGTCATCTGGTATTTAAAAAATAATGTGTTTATTTACGCATGTAAATGCTTCTTTTTGTCAATGGTGTACTCCAGCTCTATTGAAAATTATTTTGTGTTCTTATAGCTCCATACTAACTATGAGGGCTCAAGCATTTAGGGTTAACTTTTGGTATTAAGGTCATTCAAAATTCTGTGAAATCAGGCTTTTTTTCTGAGATTTACACGTCAAAGTTTGTTTGTGCCAGCATTGATCCACAATGGTTTATATTTTAGAGAATACATACTAATCAGTAAAATAGAGAAGAAGAAGAGAAGGTATGTGTAATATATTTTTGATGTAATATTTGATCTTAAAATAGCAAAAAAAAAAAATGATATTTGTTCTAATTCTCAACATTATCTGCCTACTCTAAAAATGATCCGGTTTGAAATCAGCTGAAAAAAAGAAGTCTTACGTATAGCAAAAGCAAGATCAATTCACAGATCTATGGAAACTTATTAAAATCTTGTTTTATACAGTCCTAATCTTTAAGGTCCATTCCTGAGTATCTGAATGCGAAAACAATTTGGGAAAAGCTGGAAATTGTTTTAAAAGTTAAACTAATTAAATTCAGGAAAACTCACCAAGTCGTAATTTTTAGTTTTTAGTCCTTCTTCAGCTGCTGAAAGTAGAGTCGCTGTTCTCTCTTCTACTGGAGCAATACCTTTCTGTAACTGATATTCAATTTGCAAAAGTACGTGCGTTCTGAGACTCAAGCAGTGACAAAGCCGCATATCTATATGTGGTAATCGATAGTTTCTGAAATGGAATAATTGAAATTAGCTGTTAAAAGAAGTCAAATGCTACATTTATATGAGAACCGTTCAAATAGAACTTAAGTAAATTTTTTCAGTAATTTTTATCCTTCGTGTAAGGAAAGAACAAGTTGGTGAAAGTTTATCAGTCTAATTATTTTCAATGTAACTACAAATATTTTTGAAAAATGTTAAATTAGCAATAGTGTTTATTAATCACATTGAAACACTTAGCGGTATTTAAGGAAAACATCTCCTCAATCAAGTCCAGTGCCTTGCAATCATAATAAAATATCTTGTTTGGATGCGGAAAAACTAAGAATTTTCTCTTCCTAGTTGCTTGGTAAAACTTAAGTTCTTGATAAAACTTTAATTAAACATAAAATTTTTTGACAAAAGTTCCCCAAATACCACGTAGAGTTCTTTTGTTGATAATTTGTTAGTTAATTAATGGATATAAATCATGTTACTTATCGGATTGCAAATCAATAATTAAAAAATTTTTTGCTATGTCATATGATAAAATGCTATGCTTTGTTTTTGAATTATACTTCTGTTTATTGGTCTAAACTAAAATAATTTTTGTTTTGTTTAAAAGTCCAAAATGTGTTTATCAGTTCAAACATTCATTGCTTCAAAATTATTGGTTCTAATTTGTTTCGTTTAATGTCTCGACATGATTGAGAAAAGTGTTCTGGTAGTAGATGAGGAAAAAGAAGAATGAAGTTGCAATGGATTGCAGTTATTTGAAGAAGAAAGCTGTAAGATAAGTGGATTTTTATTTTTATTTTCTATGGATTGCAGTAATTTGAAGAAGAAAGCTGTAAGATAAGTGGAATCTTATTTTTATTTTCTATAATTAAAGTATTTTAAACATTAATAAAATGTTTCGAAGATTTTAAGATCCTTCGTAAGTATAGTCAAATATTTTCTTATTTGCTTATTAAACAGTTTTACATTGAATTTGTTTCGTATAAAATGATTTTAAATGACTATCAGATTCTCTCTACATGGGAGTAGATTATTTATTGGTCAATAAAGACCTATCTGTCATGAGAGATCGATAGAAAGGTCATTTGTAAAACTGTGATGAATGATGGATTTTGGTGATTTATAATATTTCCATAGTCTGGGAAATTTTGGTGAATATCTTCCGTCGGCACTAACGTTTTACATTATTAAAACGTCTTTCAGATGTCACTTTCAATTCCAGCGATTTGGGACTTCCTCTTCCGTTAAAAACACATCCATGGAAGGAATTTATCTCGCTATTCGTACCGAATAGGGGTGGAGACGATGGTTACGAGGTTTAACTATTTCAAGTAGGGGTGCTGCTCAATATTTAAGACATATTTTGACTCCAGTTGGTGAGAGAAAGAAAATCATTAGAAAGAGAAGCTCCCCTCTTTGAAATGCATAATTTCTTATTTCCATAGCAGTAGACGGCTAAAGCATTACCATAAAAAATGAAAAAGAAATAACAGCCATAAGTAATAATAAAACGAAGCATCGCTACAAAATGCAGATTATATAATCAAAGCACGCCGACCAGGTGGCCGAGTGGTTAGCGTGCCTGACTGCGGAGCCGATGGTTGCGGATTCGAATCCCGCTCAGGGCATGGAAGTTTCTTTCTCTCTGTGTTCTATGTCCTTTCTCCTGTGTGTGTGATTGTGACCCGCCTTATAAACGGGTTTGTGGTTGTGTGACGTGGGCAACGATGCTCCACCGCCGGCTTCGCCACAGGTGCCTACTGGGTAACGAGAAGAGAGTAACAGTTCTGGCACTCCTGGCTAATGGGACAATACATCCTCAGTGCCCGCCATTAAAAAAAATAATCAAAGCACACTTTACTTCGCACCTAATGATACTGGGGTGAATTACAGATTCTCTTTTGCAGGCATCGCATACTCTACTTGATATCTTCAGCAAATCAGCCAAATAAAGATTCAGTCTCTCACGCTGACGCTCAGCCATCGCGTTAATCACACATCGTCTCATGTACTCACTTGAGAACTTCAGAGGATGACTACAGAATTCCAAAGAAATGTAGTGGATATATATACTTGGCCTGTCCCTGTCATCTGTTATACCCAAGTGATCGCAGCCGAACATCAGGATGTGCTTCTTCATCAAGTTTTGAGCTTTAAACAAAAGCTGAAATTTAGAAAAGACATTTTTAATTACACAATACACATTTCCCTCAAGGGTTACGTGGAATGGTAAAAGTCGGCTGAAATCGTGGGAACATGTAATATGACTATAAATGGTGATAGTCAGAATCATGCAGCATTTTCGCCAGAATCGAATCTTTTTCTACTATACTGATTTCGGTATGTTGCTTCCATGCTTGCCGGGATTCCATGAAATCTGCAGTAGGTGTGCATGGGTAGTAAAGTTTATCCTTTTTTTTACTCTTAGAATTATTGCAGTATAATAATTAGGACAATGATTTCAGTCAGGACCATTATTCGTTTGGTGTTCAAACTTCTTTTATGAGTATTGATCTTTTTTCAAAGAATATTTATGAATCCAAATAAATTCGTAATGCAATATCGTTCATTTGCATAAATCACTTGGTACATTTTATTAAATGCGTGTTTTTTATTAAATAAAAAACACTTCGAATGTCAACAGTTGTTTTTACAATGTTGCCACGGGTGCCATAAAAATTAGAATAGTAGTAAATTTATTTCATAGGAAGTTAGAGTTTTAAAACTCAAGTTTTTTTCTTCTGAATTCGTAGACATCGTCCCAAAAGTTACGTCTGTATGATACCTGACCTTCCCATCTCGAAGTACGGGACTTGGCCTCGTAATAATCATGCTTAATGTTTAAATAAGAAAGAATAAGTAGACACGTATTTGCTCATTTTGTTGTTAACTGAAAAGGATCATTATTTACAATGTCTATTTTTGTAAATACGCATTTTAAGATGCGTCGATTTTCGTAAGCCCGCATTTCGAACTTCGTGCATTAGGAAATTATGTTATTAAAAGCATTTTTTTTGGATGGTTTTCTGTTCTAAAAATTTTGAAATGCTTCCCATATCAGTACTATAATGAAGTATTATGAATATAACATGCTTTCAATACTATAAAAATTTACCTCGTCCGCTGGGTATTCCGGACATACTGCTGCTAAGACGTATAAGCCAAATGATTCTCCAAGTAAGACACATTTTCTCAGAAGCATCTGCTCTTCAGCACCTAATCCTACTGTGTGATCTCTGAAAATTTCTATGTTTGGAAATGTGTTAATGTCTAAAATTCTAAGCAACATAATAGATAATTATCTTACAATCATTTATATGGTATTGTGCACACTGAGGTTATGAAAACAATTCCATGATGATAAAGCTTTTTGATGATACTGATAAAGTTTTACAGTATATAAATTAACCTTTTTCGTCACCAGATCATTTTGAATTAAATCAATGAGATCCTATTATAGATGAGATTACATTTCGTTAAATAAGTATAACAATTAGAATTTCCCACTTTAAGTGATCTTAAGTGTTTTTTTTAAAGATATAGTTAAGATGAGAAATCTGACCACGAAATTAAATTTCTCCGAATAGGCATATTTTTACTCAAATGAATTGATATTTTAAGATTAAATTAATAATAAACACGAGAGCGAGAATAATTTTTAACTTGAATAAAAATGCTAGCCTCCACCAGAACTGAAATTAAAACACCCGATTAAAATTAGACAATGCTCTTCGAATAAACAACCATCCAAGGAACGATGGATAGCATCAAAAATACATGAAAATAAAAAAAGGAAAAGGAAAGAGCTGATAAAAACACAAAATATGAAATAAAATAAATAATTTCAGCAACGCATTTGTCTTCTTCTATGTCGGTATGAAGCAATTTGTAAAGTGTTATAGACTATGATATGTGGCAATATCTTTAGACCTGAAAACTAGTTCATAGTGATAATTCTAATTCATGGAATGGGCCAAAAACTAATGAATAATTATCGGAAATACACACAAATACGCAGATCCCCTTTTAAGCTTTCAAGTTCTGATGGTTTCTTCCGACCAATACTCCTCTGACTTGTAAATAAGAGAGAGCAAAGGAGATAACTTTAGACATATGTTAGACTAACAAGTAATTTAGAGGCAAATAGAATTGAAAAAGAAGCTAATCATCATCTACCGACAGACTTTCCAGGAAGTACCAAATACTAATAAAACCTAAAGTCATAAAAGGGGCCATGGACAAACGGCAAGAACGATGTGAAGAAACATTTTATTTTATTTTATATTTTATTTTATAATCGTCGTTGAACAGCCAACTCAATTTTATGGGTTTACGACTACTAATGTTTAACTTCGTAGCCTTGTAATTTTGAATCCAATCTATTGTTGAAGACAAGGAAACTCCTGGATCGAGTGTTGGGAGAAATTTGCCTTCGTGGAGGGCTTTTTTGATGGAGCTAAGCCACAATTGCGTTACATATAGAGGAAGACCACGAGAACCTCCCACGGTTAACCTGACAGCAAGGGGACTCTAACCCATGATCCGTCTACCACAGAGGATATTTCACTTCAGCACTGTGGTCGGTGCCAGACGCGGAATTCGTTTTGACTGGGATTCGAACCCGGTTCGTCTCATTGGAAGGCGAACGCTCTATCCCCTGAGCCATCGCGCCTCAAGTAAGAAACACTTTGGAATATTTATTATGAATGAACATAGGCTAGCAAAATTGATTTCTACACAAACCAACTGTTATTAATAAATCACGGCTGTTACGTCGCACATTAGTACAAATTCTTCAAATGATAACACGTTTGTCTACAGTGTTCCGTTGATGAAACCATTGAGCACATTTTGATATGCTGTAAATCAAAAAGTAATCAAGCTGAGGAATCTTTAAAGAGCTTTCAGAGCATTGGTAAAGCTGAATATGAACTACGTCACGTCACAATGCAAAAGGTTTAGGAAAGGTCAACACGAGTTCTGAAAAAAACATTCTTCATGATTTTCATAATACAAATACTAAACTTTATGCTAAACTTCATCCCCCTTTTGTACCTCCGGAATCAAACTCTGAGATAATCCTTATAAGATTTATACCAACTGCAGAAGTTTATTTTTACTTTGTTCAGTTAATTTTTTTTTAGCTTTTGTATACACATCAGATTTTGAATTTTTTTGATTCTTTGATAGTCTGATTGATAGTCTGTTTGATTCTGTTGACATTCTTTGATAGTCTGTTTAGATCGAGTCGAAATAATGCTTTATATATACTTCAAGCACATAAATACTGGGACTTAAGGTAAAAACATAAAAAACTTCTGCGCTGCAAGTTGTGATATTTTTTATTATTCTAATTTGAATATTAGAAATGTGTTCTCTTTAATTAGAAAAAAATAAATATTTTCAACTATATGTTATAACCTTAAGCTAAATTATTGAATTGGGATAAACTGAATTAGGATGGATTAAAAAAAATCACTTACCTATCAAATTTGAAGGTATTTTCAACGACCGCAATTCATTTTGGTTTTTGATGTCACAAACTTCCTGAAAATACATGCGTTATAATATTTTTAAATGCATTGAATCAAAACATAAGAGAATAAAGTAAATTAATGGATGCATTATACAGTAATACAACACATGTTAAATGATGCAATGTATATGAATAGAATAAATTTTCTAAAAGGAGCTATTACTTAGCAAACGAAAAAAATAATTATATTAATTACCAAAAATAATCAAAATGTTTAAAGTTTAACGAGATTTATGAAAAGAAAAAAAAAGTTTTTGAGTCCACGAGTACGAACAGCTCTGTTTTTGATAAAAATCAATTTTAAAATTGCAAATGCATATATACATGTGCAATACAATGCAGGATGAGTTGCATCTTTGTCGTCTCCATGAGTTTTAGCAAATATCTGGTTAACTAAATAATTTTAATTGTTCGGAGAATTTTTACATAGCTTTGCCTTAGTTTTTATTAAATATTTGTTTTATCTAAACATTTTAATGTCTTACATTTTCTTTTGAACAATCATCAGTTTCTTCCGCGGGTAAAAAAGAGCTCTCGAACACTTGATCTGGAATCTCATTTCGGGGTAAAATGTGCAGATGTTTCTTCATAGGGTTTATCATTAATATTTCTCGCAACAATAGTGAATTTCCTTTACTGTGCTCCTCAAGTAATCTAAGGAAATGAAATTGAAATAAAATATTGTTAAAAGTAAATATGTGTAAAGGTAGTTTGCTGTATAGTGCATAGATTATGCTCTCTATCCCCTTATGCAGGTATTTAGAATCCAGAAATGATAAGTAATTCATATTTCACTTTGAATCGGTCGCCAAATTTGTAACACTCATATGTTAAAAGTATTATAATACTCATATGTAAAGGAAAAATGTTAAAGGTGATGAAACTATGAAAATTCTTGATCTATTTACGATTAAAATTACCGCCACGATAGCACCACGATTAAATTAAAAATTAATGTAAAAAGTACCGGCACTTTGGGTGTCAGTATTTTTTACGGTGTATCAAAATTTTTTGTTTAAGTTTGCTAATTAAATGTTGTCCCCAGAACATGAAATTTTTTGCACATGCTATTTACTTATTTTTAAGTACGGAAAAATTTCTACGTATAAGTTAAAATTAGTTTTCATATTTTTGCAAATTGACATAACACTAATGACATAATACTCTTACTGATAATAAATTATTAGGGTGAGAATGGTTTATTAACCACAACAACAGCCGTTGTTACCGTTTTGTTGCCGACGCTTACAGACCAGTAGCCTATTAAATGGCTGATTGCATATTAGTAAATAAATATAATTTTGCATTGATATCATGAAAATAATAATTTTATTAACAAATAATTGTTCTAAGATAAAATAAAGAGAGTATTTTTCTTATCTGAGCATGTGAAAAGCATAGATACTAACATGTCAGTGTCAGTAGTTGATGAAGTGTTAATTTAGATTGTTGCTGAAAGAACTAAATTTCTGTTGAAAAATTTTTTTTGTTAAGGCTTGATGTTAATCCAATAACCCTTATTTTACCTCCCTCGTGATGAATCTAAGTAAATATGAGGAAGATTTCAAACCCAAAATTAATAGAAAATATGACTCTTACAAAATTTAAGGTGTTTTTGAGGTTGATTTGAGGTGAGAAGTTTGATTTAAGGTTTATGTGTAGTTTACTTCAAAAACAACCTTAAAAGCTCAAACTTTCAAGATGTATATTCAAGGTGCATTAGGTTGTTATATTCACACTCGAGATTGTTGGAAATCTACTTTAGAGTAACCAACCTCTAAAGGTTATTTTTCAGGTGTGCATACTATTTTTTCTACACTTCAAGCAAATAAGTACATTTGAGGTGTGAATAATTTCATGCAATCTCACCTGAAAGTACTGCGGAGTTATACAGGGTTATTCATAATTCCCTCCGGGGTTTCGAAGCGTTATAGTAAAAAAACGAAGACGAATATGGCAAAAAAGAACATACGAAATTGTTCCGAAAGTATTCAAGTTTTAATTTCAGCAGTTGCCGGTAGATGGCAGTAACATGTACCACTGAAGCCAGTTGTAGTAAAGAAAAATGGCGTTTACACGGGGAGGGAATTGTGAATAACCCTGTATATGAAGATGATTCTATGAATTGTAAATGAGGTTGAAATTGAAATTAATTAATGAGGTTATTTTTGGTTCAAAACATAATCTCATTTTCTACTTTAGGTGTATTTTTTCAACCTTAAAACAACTTCATAAACATCTTTTTTTGTAAGGGAAGACAAGCCCTAGATTTTCAAAATCATATTTTATTTTTTATGTTGTTCATGCCAGATGTAGAAAGTGCTTTTTTTTAATTCTGATGTAGAATATATTACAGTAGCCTTTTTAGAGAAAAGGAATTTGTATGCATTAAAATATGAAATTTAGAAAAGGGAAGTAATGAGCAACTAAGAAGAGATTGACCTTCCACATCCTTTTGCTAAGAAATCGTAAAAAGTACTTTTTAACGATTAACGAGCTTCAAGAATTTAGTATAATTCTCTATTTGCTTTTTAATATTAGTAATTAACATGTCATATTACTAAAATGATAAACCATGTGAAAAAACGACTTCATGAAGATGAATAAGTTGGTAGCCAGAAGCGAGCTTTTTCACTAAATATTGCGAGTTCCAAAGAATTATGAAATTTCTAAGAATTTAGTATAAATTTGTTTTTTTACTAATATTTCTTAAAATATCATATAACTGAAATGTCGAACCATGTGCAGATGAGTTCACGAGGGTGAATAAGTTGGTCGCCAGAAGTAATATAATTGTTTGTAAAATCAGAAAGAATAAAATAACGTTGAAGTACTTCACTAATTCCTTGTTAATTGCTTGCACATTCAAGATGTGGCATGCCAAGATTCCAATTTCTTCTAGACTTAGGGGAAGGAGATTCACTTCTGTGAATTTGTGCTCTAAGATATTCTTTATAAAAGGAGTTCCACTATGAAATTCTGTTGTGAAAGTTGCTATGACAATTGCAATATGGTCCATAAGCAAATCTTGCAGAAAAAGCCACGATTCAGTACCCGTATGTTCTGCATTATCGATACCAATAATCAATGGTTGATTTTTTACACACTATAAGAGAAACGTTTGAAGTGTTACTGCTCAGTTACACGCATAAAAATTAATGATTAAGTTTTGAAAGTAGACTATTTTATTGCAAGCTTATTAAAATAATTAAAAGAAATAAAAATCTAGAAGCAAAAACAAAAATAGTAAAGGAGCAAAGTACAGAAAATGTCCTGATAATGTATATAAAATGTATTTTTAAAATTAATCGGACATGTCTGCCAAAGATTACTAAGTCAGAAATGCTACATAACTCAAGGTAGACGGAAGTGGTAGTTCTTTGGATTCAATATGCGAATTTCTCATGCCTTTTTTTAAAAGCAATATCAATACATAATTAACCTTGTGAGAATAAATTTATATTTAAATATACACTGACGGAAAATAAATACCAACACCACCCAAGCAGGAAAAAATTATTCTAGAGTATTGAAATTTCGGCAATGTGTTTGTCTGAACAAAATATTTAATTATTTGAAGTTTCAAGGTCACTGGTTAATGCAATTAAGAGAAAAACCATTTCAAATGTTAAATACTGGTACATTAATAACCGGTGTAATTACCAGAATTTTTAATGCAAGCATGCAAACGGGCATGCATTGGTGTCATACAGATGTCATGCGTCATTTTGTGGGATGGAGTTCCATGCTTGTTGCGCTTGGTCAGTCAATACCGGGATAGTTAATGCTGGTTGTGGATGGCGCTGAAATTATCGTCCAATGATGTCCCATACTTTCTCGATTGGTGAAAGATCTGGTGATCTAGCAGGCCAAGGCAGCATAGACATTCTGTAGAGCATGTTGGGTTACAACAGCTATATAACGGCTATCGTTATCCTGTTGGAAAATACCCCCTTTGGAAACAAAACAGGTTGAATCATCAGATTGACGTACTAATTTACAGTGAAGGGGCGTGGAATACCCACGAGAGTGCTCCTGCTGTCGGAGGAAATTGCTAGCCAGACCATAACTCCAGGTGTAGGAGCAAGCTACGGGGCGTTTCATTCGGAGCTGTATTTGAAGTAACCAATTAGTAAGAATTCTTTGTGTCAGTGTTGTGCCAACTGCAGCTCAAATTTCTGATGCGAATGCAGTACGGAGCCCAGCAGCCATACGCCTTACACGGTTGTCTTCCCTATAGAGCGTAGCAGCCCAGAATCCGAACTTCTTGAAGCAGTACCTTCCCTTGAACAGTGCTGCCAACAATCATGCACAGGAAATCCGTGATAACTCAGGGGATAGAGCGTTTGTCTTCTAATAAGGTGAACCGGGTTCGAATCCTAGCGATAGCTGGTCGATATGAATTTCGCATCCGGCTTGCACTGACCACTGTGCTGACGTAATATATACTCAGTGGTAGACAGATCATGGGTTAGAGTTTCCTTACCGTCAGATAAACTGTGGAAGGTTTTCGTGGTTTTCCTCTTCATGTAACACAAATGCGGGTTATATACATAAAAAAATGCTCCACGAAGTCAAATTTATCCCGATACAGGAGTTCCCTTGTCTTCTGGATTGGGTTCAAAATTACAAGGCAATGGAGTTGAACATTAGTAGTTGTAAATCCACAATTGGGTTGGCTGCTCAATGGCTTTTATAAAATAAAATTACGCTCACAATTCTCCCCCGTCTTTCGGCACAATATTGCGGAAGGAAAATACACCTTCTCGCAGTCTTATTTCATGACCCGATTCAAGGCCAGTGAGCTGTTAATAATGGCTTCTTTTTCTTCTTAAAGGCATTTTTCACTAAGAGCAACTCAATATAGCAAAATTTAATAAAAAATAAAGCTTATGATTTATAGAACAAGTATTTAAAGCAACCCTGAATCAAGCGAGAAATTCGAATAGACTTCATCTTTTAGTTTTATAAACAAGCGTACCAAATTTAGTTTATCTAGCACAACTTCTTCTTGGTGTTGTGATTTTTCTTCCGTCAGTTTATTTCAAAATACTCTAATAATATATATATATATTGAATTATTATTTAAATATATTATAATAATTTCAGTACACATTCAATATAGTATGCTTATCCAGCTAAACCTGATTTTCTTCTTTTAGGATCAACGTAATTATTATTCTAACATAAATTTATTTGTCCAGATTTAAGGTTGTGAAAACAAGCTTATTTTAAACTTTTGCTTTTTTTTTTAAATAAAAATGATTAAACCAATATAGTAGTTTTGGAATGATCAACCAACTACAGCTACACGATTCGTTGAAAAGCTTTTTACGCACAGATTTAAAACTTACTGTTATACAATGAGATCCAGTTAAATAAAACGATCTTGGTTTTTCGTCATAACTGGAAGCAAAGAAAACTAGTCCTAACCGAACGTAGATATTAAAATCTGTAATTCAAACAGATATTTATAAGGATTAACTCTTTTCCTGCCCCACCTCGACAGCAAAAAAATATCGAACAAGTAAAAAAGGTGAGGAAAAAATGGGTCATCGAAATAAAAAATATGGTGGATAATTTAACTATAAGAAGTGGCTTTATCTGATTTAAAACATGTCATATTGCATACCATCTACCAACTCCAGGAAGATAATAGTATCAGCATTGTATCAAGTTTCCAATCAAGTTTATATCAAGTCCATGGTGAGTCTTCAATTCTGAAACAGATTGAAGCTGCTTCTTTTTGTATAGATAGTCTTATTGAGGATAGCCCTTCATGTTTCCTGAAGGAGTTGGGTCACGAGAAGGCTGGTCATTCATGACATGCATTTTATTATCCAAAAACCAACACTTTAAAGATTTTACAGCGTAAATGAAGGCATTTTCTTGTTGTACTTGAATCGTCAATTCTCGGTTCAAACGCTGAGCTTCTAGCATTTTTTTATCAATAGTTAGCCTTCATGCAGCCTAGGGGAAAGGCATTCATGCCTGCCTTTATACTTGACCTACATTCCGAAGAAACGTCAGGGTTATCCTTAGTCCTGCACATATCAAAAAGTAGCAATTTATGTTTGTGGCTGAATTGAAAACATCCATTGAAACCTGGGATAATATTAATGCTATTATCATCCAATGTTCAGTAATGAAGTGAAACAGGATGTGTTGGGCGTTTGTGGGTGAAAGTGATCAGTGGACCCCCCAAATAACTCATTTGACTAATTTATTTCAAAACAAAAAATTTAATCTCTCCATAAACAATGCTGTTTCCCCTTTTCAATCGAAAAAAAAATTCTTTTGTACGCAAATTAAGAAATTTTCGCAAAACGCAAAAAGGGAATTTCTTTAAAATAAATTGTAGTTTTCAATGGCTTATAATACATTTCAGGTAGAATAAAAATTTAAATTTAATCCACGATTTAGTAGCTTTGTGCCAGCTAGACACTAAACTCTAGTTATAAAAAAAAATTCTTACCTTCTTAACAATTGACACCATCAGTGCTCTCAAATCACTATCACTAAATGTTTTACTTGGAACTGGAAACTGTATAAAATTATGAAGATTTAGTTTCAAAAATGACCTAATAAATACACTTAAATGTTTCATTAAAGCAACCTAGTCTAAATTACCTGCCTGAATCTAAATAAAATGTATTTCGTCTAAAAATTTAACTTACCTTCAACCTCAGTCATTTCCCCAAGAAGTTCTAAAATGTATTTTCATAAAATTATTCGAATTGCAATTTAAAATCTTTTTACATTTTGCACCGAGAACAAAAGCATGGCCAAAACTATCTGAATATAGTAAAAATTTATGGTGTTTCAGGCTCTATGGGAACATTAAAAAAGCTGGGTAATTTTTACCGAAGCGTTTTGGTAATGGTTTTTGAAACATTGACAATAAAATGAGGTTTTATTACGCTTGATAAGTTTGCTAAATGTAGTACAATTTGGTCATGCTATCATGATACCTTAGTGCATGACATAAAAACCATTTGATTGGTAAAATTTACTTCTACGTTTTTATTTTTATTTTTTTCTAAATGTATAGTAATAAGAACTATAATTTTGAAAGTCAGAATTTCTGGTGAATGGTTACTATATAAGTGGAAAAATTACCACATAAATGATTCAAATACCGCATCTATATTTTTTAAACCAGAATTACGGTTGTTTTACCAGAAATGCCACTATGGTAATTTTACAAGCATTGTTTTCTCGTGTATCAATGAAGTAACTTTATTTTTATCCCTCTGATTTATTTTGATTTAAAATAAGTGAAAGTTTTTTTTTCCAAGCAGTTTTCTCATATAGAATCAGCATTAACAAAACTTCTGTAAAATCAGCTCGATTAATGCTTCGTATTTTTTAAAAATGATGTTGAAAAATATCACTGAAACATGTAAAGAGAAAGTGCTATTTTTAAAAAATATTTAGTGCTATTTTTTAATAAGTTTTAATGCAAAACTTTTTTAAGAATAGACGTACTTTGAGGTATACACACAAAAAAAGCATTATATTTTAATATGCAATTGAGTTATAAATTGTTACAATATCAGAAAAAAATTGAACTGTACACAAAATTGAAACTTTTATGAACTCAAAAATGAGAACTTATATCGGAAATAAGTTGAACTGTTCGCAATGTCAAAAATATTAATTTACCGAGTATCCTTAATTTAAAAATAAGTATAAATACCATAGTTGAAAAGGTATATGAGCTCAAAAATTAGAAAAAAATTCACTAAAAATTAGGTACATTCTACTTGATGCTGTTGCAAGTATACCTTTATCTATTTTTGAGTACATTTTACATCATTTGAGTATTCCGCTTAAACGGTGTATCATGCTCAAGCAAGTTAGTAAAAGTATGGTGATTTGCATCGGCATTTTCATATCGATATCGGAAGCTTTTGAGACAGATTTATTAATTGAAGAACTCAACGAAGAATGCTTTCTTTCGACGTAATGGAGAAGCCTAAAAATATGGATTTAAAAACATGTTTTGGTAAACTAATTTATAAAACTTAACAGCATACTACTATTTGATTAAATAAGATGCTTTTTAATTATTTTTTTGTTATCAGATTCCTACTATAGTTATGTTTTTTAAACTAATGTTCTGAAATTTCTGAGAATCCTTTTTAATAAGTTCTACCATTGATTTCAATAATCAGTTTCTCTGATATCAGGAATTACTTACGTTCAAATTTACAAACATACAGTCAATGGCCAAATTATTCGACGCACTATGAGATTCTACGTAAAATCTTAATTATCAGGAGATACTATACAGCTTTATTGTTTTTACGCGGCTGAAATCGATTTGCACTTGTTTCGTGTATCAATTGATTAACATTGTAATGCAATACGTTAAAAATAAATACAAATAGGAAGTATACAAAAAATCTCCTGAATGAAAACCCATTAACTATATGTTTAAATATAAAAGTATTGCATACAAAATCGTGCAAAATATGTAATTATTAAAACACTACAGTGTGTCTAATAATTTGATCTAATTATTATAATATACTAATATAATACCTGATATAATAAGTATTCTATATTTATATAATATATCTCCTAATTCATCCAATCCCCAAATTTGTATTATATACCGTCTAATGTAACCAACTGATACACGAATGTAAGCAAGTGCAAACCGGTTTCAGTCACGTTGGTTGGTTGGTTCTAATGCCACTTGCCACACGGGCAAGCCTGCTTGGTGCAACCGAGCAAATTTAAGGCAGAGTGTGCTATTCTTGTTTTTCAGTGGCGCCATCTTTGGCCAAGAATTCGACTTCTGCCGCATCATACATTACACCTGTTTATAAGGCGGACCCATTCATACATCCATTCATTCATCCACAAATCGTAATTTTGACCTGAATCAGAGAACGATCGATATCCAATCCAGTACCCCCAGAGGTATTGATTTGTTATGGAAACATGGAGGACTTTGCGACTCGACGGAATTTTAACGTGCCAACTACACGAGGAGTCTTCGGCCGGCGGGGTTCGAGCCCACGAACTCTCGGAAATGGGCCCAGCGCCCTACTGACCAGGCTATCCCGGCCTTTTCAGTCACGTAAAAACAATAAAGCTGTATAATATCACCTGATAATTAAGATTTTGCATAGAATCTTATAGTGAGTCCAGTAATTTTGCAAGAAACTGTAGTGCTTATTTTATGCAGCAATTATTGTTCACAAATGCACATATAGATCGAAGGAATGAAATAATTTTACCGAAGTATTGATCATCCTATTTAGTAAGTAAAGAGGTATTTCCTCAACGTTTGGATCACCAAACAGATCCAACACTTTTTGATCGCTATCGATATTGCAATCTCTCAATACAGTTTTCACAATTGTCCAGCTGTTGTCGAATGGCTCTTCGAATACAGTGTTTTTAATATTAACAGTTAGTCTGAAAAAGAAAATTTGACAAATTTATTTAAGAATTTGTGTAAAATAAAGTGTGTTTATATGAAATATCTCTAACTAAACTGTTTCACAACCAGTGAGTAAAATTTAACTCAAAATATATGAACTATTTCACTTATGACAAGTAGTTAGGATTATTAAAAAGATCTCAAAATGCAATTGATTGGCTTTCATGACTTTAATATGAATGATTTTCATGGACTTCGATTAAATAAAGGTCTACAGACAGCTGTTTTTTTTATCATTAGAATTGTCAATAGAGGATGCGTAAAGTATTAATTAGACATTTATAACCTGGTAATTATTAAAATTGATTTCTTATTTAATTAATTTTATTTGAACTGTTATTTGAATATCTGGAATTTAAAGATAATTACTCTGCTATAGTAGCTAAATTATTAAATAAATTTTTATTATATATGCACTGATAAAAATACGCACAGTACGATAATTATAGGGGAATGAATATGAACAATAATTAATATCAAATTTAATATACATCATATAATGTTTTTTGATAACCCAAACAATACGGGAAATCTTCGGAAAATCTTACTCATACATTTTGATTTCCTGAAACTCATAGTTAAATAAGTTATTGTATAATGAAGATACAAAATTTTCTAAAAGATTTACATTTATTAAGGAATAAATCTTAGAATATTACGTTGAAATTAAACGTATCTAAAATTTAGCAAAATATGTTAAAAATTATTTTAAAAAATAATAATTTTTTAGGGTACTTTTTAATTTCAATATTCCGAAAACTTCCCATTTATGAAACTTGATTTTTTTTAGAACAAAATGATTGAATTATTAAAAAAAGTATCAGTAAAGACCATTTCTACTTTAACACGCGTAGTTTTTGTATTGTAAAGTTATCTATTTACAATAAAGAAGTTTTTATCTGGTAATTAATCAGGGTGTTCCGTAATCACCACCTTTGATATGTATTTTAGAATCTTTGTCAAAAAACTATAGGTAAATTTATATTTTAGCACAACACAAATATTTACAAGAAACAAACACAATTCAAATCTAACGAATCACTAACTGAACATTGAAACCCGTTTAAATGCCTAAAGAAGAAAGAGTTGAGAGATGGGTTTAGGAANTCGAGGAACATTCCAGTGACTTTCAAGTCATGTCTTGGCCCCCAAATTCAGCTGACCTTAATCTAATAGAGCATTTGTGGTCTTACTTGGAAAACCAAATTCGTGTTGCCATGCTACCCCCTCGCAATGTGAGGGAATTGCAGGACCAGTTGGTGAGCGCTTGGTACCAGATACCCCAGACTACCTCTCAGCACCTTGTGGAATCGATGCCACGGCGGGTGCTAGCGGTTTTGAGGGCTAAAGGTGGTCCTACCTGTTATTAGCAGGGTGGTCAAAATGTAAAATCTCTTCGGTGTATATCGCCTAATGTTACCAACTGATACACGAACGTAAACAAGTGCAAACCGGTTTCAGTCACGTAAAACCAATAAAGCTATATAGCATCACCTGATAATTAAGATTTTGCATTGAATCTTATGGTGAGTCTAATAATTTGTCTAGGGATTGTAGTGCTTATTTTATACAGCAATTATTGTTTACAAATGTACTTATGAGATCGAAGGATTGAAATAATTTTACCGAAGTATTGATCATCCTATTCAGTAAATAAAGAGGTATTTCCTCGACGTTTGGATCACCAAATAGATCCAACACTTTTTGATCGCTATCGATATTGCAATCTCTCAATACAGTTTTCACAATTGTCCAGCTGTTGTCGAATGGCTCTTCGAATACAGTGTTTTTGATGTTAACAGTTAGTCTGAAAAAGAAAATTTGACAAATTCATTCAAAAATTTGTGTAAAATAAAGTACGTTTATATGAAATATCTCTAACGATTCAAAACTGTTTCACTACCAGTGAGTAAAATTTAACGCAAAATATATGAACAATTTCACTTATGACAAGTAGTTAGGATTATTAAAAAGATATCTCAAAATGCAAATGACTGACTTTCATGATTTTAATACGAATAACTTTCGTGGACTTTGATTAAATAAAGAGATATCTCAAAATACAATTGACTGACTTTCATGACTTTACGAATGACTTTCATGGACTTTGATTAAATAAAGAGATATAGACAGCTGTTTTTTTATCATTGGAGTTGTCCACAAGGAATGCGTAAAGTGTTTCTTAAACATTTATAGCTTGGTAATTATTAAAATTCATTTTTTAGTAAATTAGTTTTATTTGAACAGTCATTTGAAAAGCTGGAATTTAAAAATAACTATTCTGTTATTGTAGCTAAATAATTAAATTTATTCTTATTATATATTTACTGATAAAAATATTCACAGTACAATAGTTATAGTGGAATGAATATGAACAATAATTAATATCAAATTTAATATATAGCATATACTGTTTTTTGATAACCCCAGCAATACGAAGAATTATAAAGCATTTTTTATTTTAATGAAATATGAAAACACTGTATGTGCTGTTTTTGTAAAAATAATAGAATTTTCAAATTTTTTCATGTAATTGAAAAATTGCGATTTTGCAATTCTTCGGAAGATTTTATTCATACATTTTGATTTTCTGAAATTCATAGTGAAATAAGTTATTGAATAATGAAAATTTTCTAAAAGATTTTAATTTATTAAAAAATAAATCTTAGAAGATTTCGTTGAAATTCAACGTATCTAAAATTTAGCAAAATATGTTGCGAATTATTTAAAAAAATAATAATTTTTTAGGGTACTTTTTAACTTTAATATTCCGAAAACTTCCAAGCCATGAAACTTGATTTTTTTTTAGAACAAAGTGATTGAATTATAAAAAAAAGTAGCAGCAAAGACACTTAAACGCGTGTAGTTTTTGTATTGTATAGTTCTCTATTTACAATAAAGAATTTTTCATTAGGTAATTAATCAGGGTGTTCCGTAATCGCCACCTTTGATATGTATTTTAGAATCTTTGTCAAAAAACTATAAGTAAATTTATATTTTAGCACAACACAAATAATTTTAAGAAACAAACACAATTCAAATCTAACGAATCACTAACTGAACATTAAAACCTGTTTAAATGCCAAAAGAAGAAAGAGTTTTTAAGAGATTTTAAAAAGAAGTAGAGTTTTTAAGAAAGAGTTGAAAGATGGGTTTAAGAAATATTACTGAATTTCTTTAAGCAATTTAAACTTTTTTGATGATTTTTGTTCCGTTTCTTCCTGGTTTAAGTACTGATTTCAGCACTCAAATATACATATTTTTTCAATTTAATTCTTTGACAAGTATTCAGAAAATACATATTTAGACTGTGATTACAGAGCTTGCTAAATACATCTTACTTGAAGCCCAATTTCCGTGACTGCTCCATAGCCCAATTGAAAAAAATTGTTTTTCCTGATCCCAATTTTCCAGTGATGATAATTAAAGGAAGGGTATCTTTTAAATGAATTATATCTGTTTTTAATTTCAACATAGCTTCTTTGAAGTTCTTTTTATCTTCTTTTCTCCCGGAGCAAATCGCGTCCGGTTTGAACCTAAGAGAAACATGAATTAAGCAAAATTTATCTCACCACATTCAAATGTGCTAAATTACAAGTGTAACCTGCAGAGGGTTACAGTGTTAAAATTATCGTACGTAATCGTGCACATTTACAGTATTCTTCATATTGGGCTGATTCGAATCACATTATTTTGTATTTTATCTTATAACCGGCGTTAAATAGCCGAGCCAATCCTGAATTTACCACTGTCAATGTTCAACTCCGTAGCCCTGTAATTTTTAGCCCAAACCAGAAGACAAGGGAACTCCTGGATCAAAAATTGGGACATACTAGCTTTCGAGAAGGACTTTTTGATGGAACTAATCCGCATTAGTGTTACAGGGAGAGGAAAACCACGAAATACTCTCATGGTTAGCCCAACGTCAAAGGGATGCTGACCCATGATCAGTCTACAACTGGTGATATTTTACGCCATCTGTGGTCGTTGCGTGCTGGGGGCAGAATTCGTATCGACCAGCCAACGCTGGAATTCGAACCTCAGTTTCCACACTGGAAGTCGAGTGCTCTATCCCCTAAACCACAGCGACTCAAATGTATCCATTATTAACTTAAAACGAAAGATCTCCAGAAAAGTGAAATGAAACTTCCTTTGCGCGTTATAATAGAAAAACTTAACGCGATTCGTAACACAAAGATTTATTTATACTTCTTTCACTTTATTTATATCAATTATTAGCTTGTTTCACATATATTAATGCTGACTTTCAAATGATCTCAATTCTGCGTAGTGCATGGAAAAGTATTCTGGCCTTTTTTACCAACTGTCCACTAGGTAACTGACGTGTATGTCTTGCTTTCTTATATGCTGATTTATATCAATGATGATTCTCTCGAAAATAACCTCAGTTCTGCACTGATTCTGCTCAATGAATGTAACAATATTCAGCCTTGATTTACAGACCACCCTCCAGGTTACTGAGGTGTATTCTTTGCTTTTTTTCATGCCGTTTTATATCAATGATGATTCTCTCGAAAATGACCTCAGTTCTGCGTTGGTTCTGCACAACGAATGTAAAAGTATTCAGCCCTGTTTCAGAAACTATTCCCTTGGTTACTGAAGTACACATCTCTTGCTTTTCCCCCCCTAAAGTTTCCCTTTCAGTTATTGTTTGGAAACTGCCCATTTCTTTTAAACTTATTTTAAATGTTTTGTGACTCCCGGTAGTCCTGACGAGAAACGTCGTGTTCTCTGTGCTCAAAATGTTTTGATTTTTTTAATTTCTACTATTCAGCAGAAGTTTTAATTTTAAGCATATCTCATATTAGATTACACGAGTATTTAAATGCAAGAACTGTTCAGTTTAACCTTTCGATAAGATTTCAGCGATTGCGTACTATTTTACAGCTGTGCTCAACTTATGACTACAGGGAAGTGAAAATATTAATAACCATTCTATTATACGATCTGAAAAAAATAAGGATGATCCTAACTACGTAATTAATAGTAGACATACTCGTCCGGTTCTACTTGCACTTTGAATATTGTCTGGTTTTTTATGCGTCTTGTGTTCTCCTTCACAGCTTCAAAAATCTTCCCTAATGTTCTTCTTGTTACGAAAAATATATTGATGCCACAAATTATCTCAAACTCTGAATAGTATCGGATTCCTAAGTAAGAATTATTAATTGGCAAACCTAGAACTAAAAGCAAAGCAATTAAGGACGTAGCTTTTCAAACATTGAATTAAAATTAACTTCAGGACGAAACTGTCACAAGAACTTTTGAACTCTTAATTATAAAATTTTATTAATTTGTGACATCAATATATTTTCGTAATCGTCTTGTTACGAAAAATATATTGATGCTACCAGTAATGTTCGAAAAATATATTGTAAGCAATATTAATTGACGAACTTGGTACTAAAAAAGTGAGATGATTAAGATTTTTAAACATTTAATTAAAATTAACTTCAATGCAAAACAGCCACAAGAATTTTTGAATTCTTAAACATGAAATCCTAAAGCTTGTAAAAAATAATAGCGAAAATAAGCTATTATATGGCTCTAACTACACTGTTAGAAATTTGTCGGAAGAATGGTTAAATAAAAATTTATTTAATTGTTATTTCACCATATTCAAACAAAGCAGTCAAGTAGCTATAAATAAAATGGTATTCAAACTGTTAACTGGGAGAAAAATCGTGTATAACTCTCATTAATGCATAGATGGCAGCACCATAGATCTGCTTAACAAAAAAAAGGCTAGCATTTCCGATACGATAGGTATCTACTAGAAAAACTAATGAAACCACATTCCGCTGCTAATGTATATAAAAACTTTTTTTTGACCGCAACTTAGCTTTAATACTCATTTTCTAACAAAAAGCCTAACACCTAAGTCCAGTTAAATTTGTTTACGATTTTGATATGCTAATTGTAAACGATTAAAAAACCCGTTTAGTTTCATATTCATGGTTTTTTGAACATACTAGTATACTATTAAAGGTAAAAAGTGTTCTTTACACTAAACTTTATGGTTAATTGGTGGGATTGCAGGTTGCTTGTTATATTATCGTAATTTTAAAATGAAAATTCTAACAGTGTATGATGACTTTACTCAAAATTTTAGGAGCGAAAAATAATTCGTACTTTCTTTTATGAAAAATATTATTATAAAAATAAACAAAAAAAGCTGGTAGCTGATAAACAATTCTTAAATAAATATTATTTAAGGATATATGAGAGCTTTTATTTAAAAACTGTCACATTTACAACATTAAAAATTGTAAAACAGTCTAAAACTTACCGACGCATATTTTTCGAATTGGAGGACCAAGAACACCACAGAATGCGATGCCCGAGAAAATTCCTATAGTTACTCTTCTGCAAGGAAGCAATATTTAGTAATTTAAACAAGATAATTTAATAAAATACTTTAATTTATAAATTTCATAGAATTCCCAAAATTTAAACGAAAATTAGAATATAGGTTTAATAATGTTTTTATTGCTTTATTGTATAAATTGAATTACAATCTTTCTTAAGCGACATTTGTAAGATAAACCATTTTTCTATAGGTAAGTCTTGGTCCATGATTTTAACCATGCTGTTTTGACTTTGATAGTTAACTTTCATGTTATTAGTTGAATATTTGAGAGAAGTTTTTCAATAATAAAATCTGTGCCTTTAGGTTGAGTTTGTAAACACATGCTTACATATAAGGCAATTTCTTCATAAATGTATACGTTTCCTATCTGTAATTACTAAACTCATGATTTTAAGTTAAACTCCTTTAAAACAAACCTCCCTATAAGCATTTGCCTTCAAACACAATTTTTATTGTTAGTCGAATTCAATGATTACACAGTGAAGAACAAATGTTTTGTTGCATTTATACAATTACTTGGCCTTACCTAATTCGGATGCATTAATCTTCAAATCTGAAATCAGTTTTTCTCCTGAAGATGCAGATTTTTTTTAATGATATTTTTAATCTATTTTTTGTCGAAATGCACAAGTTAGTAACTTAATTTATAACAGAGGGATACATAAATGTTTCGATAAACTCATCATCAGCACATTAAAACTGCATAGAAACCCATGCCTGAAATAACGTCTTACGTGGCTGGGGGCACTTTCCTATTATGACCCGTAAAAAAGCTTACGAAGAATACGAAGAATCTATAATAGGAAAGTATCCCCAGCGGTGTGTGGTGATATTTTGAGTATATTTTTGAAGTTTTAATACTGGTTATGTGCCAAACACCCTTAGTTTGTCAAAACATTTATGCACAACCCCTGTTATTTATAGTTATTTTTAACGTTTATAAATTTGTACATTTAAAAAAATATAAAATAAAAACGTAATTTAAAAAAAAATTGCAGTTTGGAGAGAGAAATCGATTGTATATTTGAATCCAGCAACACGAAAGTATTTAAGATCTTTAAAGGAATCTCGTGCAGCAAGAATTTTTTTTCCTTCCGTAATTGTTGAGATATTTGTCCATTTTTTATTTCTTTTATAGTTTTAAATTCATTGCTGTTTTCTACAAGGAATAGTAAAAATCAGGAAACTTTTCTCACAAAACTGATATTTCTCCTCTGTACACCTCTATTTGATTCCAGGGTTATACTAGGAATGTAGGTAAATGTAGAGACTCTTGATTACGAGTCACTTAAAAATTGAATTATTTCAGATTTGACGGAATTTTAAATTACTATTATTTGACTGCTATTATTTCCACTATTGCTTGAGATAGTAAAATAAGGCATTATTTTATGATTGTTATTAGATTGAGCTATAATTTTTTTTATCTTGGAATTGGCCCAAGGAGGATTTCATTATCACTTATAATACAAGCGGCTTTGAAGTTTGAATCTCGGGTGATTGCTTAATTCGCAAACTGACGCCAATCAGCATCAACTACAGTGCTAAAATAAATCTAATTATGCAACAGTTATATACAAAATATGGATTTTAGTCTGTCAGGCAAATCCTGGTAGAATGTCGTGTTTTTCTAGTCTCTGTCACGCAAATGTCAATGCATATTTCGTATATTTAAACAAGCCGAAAATATCTGCTCTCCTTTCGCATAAATTTCGTACAAAGTAGACTTCGTGCAAAGTAGACTTTCGTACAAAGTAGTCTAATAATAATCAACGGTTAAATAAAAACATGAAATATTATGTTACTTACACATTTTGTTTCCTTAAAACTTTCACAATATCTTGCGAGCATAGAATAGATCTCACAGCGTCATCATTGTGTTTCGCACCAGGATATCCAAAACATATACTTACGGTAAAATTCTGTAATATATATATCATATACATATATATATATATATATATATACATATACATATACATATACATATATATATACACACACACACACACTCACACACAGGGTGATAATTATATATTGAACGATATGAAATAAACGTTAATTGTTTAAAAAATACTGAAAGAATAAACTTTACTCGACATGTAAACGTCACACGAGATATTTAATTTTATAACCGTCGTTGAACAACGATCCGATTTTGTATTTTATGACAACTCATGTTCAACTCCGCAGCAATTGAAACTTTGAACCCAATACAGAAGACAAAGGAACTCCTGNTTTGATGACCTAAAAAATGTGGAGCGAATACGGCCATGAGACGCATTGAGCTTTCTGTTGTGGTGTCCACATCCTCACTTAAAACTTTTCAGCCTATTGAAAAAAAACTTTATTAGTTGCAGTAATACATGCAAAAGACAGAATAAAAATATCTTGTTTATGTTCGAAGTTATGAATTTTTGAAGTTGTAAAGATAATTTTGGAACACCCTGTATATATATATAAGTAAGAAAAATAGCATGAATTAATTACTTCTAAACTTACAAAATAGTTCTCCGAGTATTTCTTGAGAATTTCAAAACAATATCAAAAACTGAAAGTGTCTCTCATTATTGTAGGGTAGCGTAAACATGATTAATTTACTTAGATATAAAGGATGTCAAAATCGATTTAAATTAAATATATAAATTCGAAGAATAAATTGAAAACATAAATTTATTTATCACTCTAAATATAAAACAAATTGACGCAAAATGCGTGCAAATTGGTTGTTTTGCTAATGAATTTCATTAATAATCAGTTGAAATATTGAATGAATAAATTTTGAATCAGTAACTGATAAAAAAAAACACATTAGGGGTTGCAAGTCAATATTTTAACGAGGAAAAACCAAAAACACTATTAAAATCTGTCGTAGTGAAGGAAAGCAGCTGTAATTTACATCAAAACAGGTTTGATAGGAGTCTAAAACTTAAAGGTGTTACTAATTATAGTCACTCAACTCTGTTTGTTTTCTGCTATCGTTCCTTTTCTTCGCTCTGTTAAATATTAATTTTTGACTCCAAATGTGGATCTTTTACGTTTCCATTTTTGTTAAGGATTCCAAAAGTTCATATTTTTGTTGAAACAGTTTCAATCGAAAAAGGTCCAAAAAAACTCTCAACATCCAAAAAAAGAATGAAATTAATGAAAAAAACGAAAATAACGAAATTAATAAAAGAAAGAAATTAACTCTTCAGTAGGTCTCAGTTTTATGAAGTTAAAAAAGAGGTAAGTTTTTTCAGATACCTGTTAAAGTTGGCATAAATGTTAAATGATTACAGAAACGTTAAATGTTTTTATGTTTCAAAGAGCCGTTCTATATGAAAGGCTAAGAAATACTGTGACTGTGTGTAAATAAGACTTACTAAATCAAAGAAGAGAACGTTCCGAAGGATGCCTAAAAAGGAAATATAATAAGAATGATTATAAGAAAATATACATTTATAATTTATCATAATTTTTTTGCATAATTAACCAAAAAAATTTTAATGAATGACCAAATAAATGTAATCCATAATCCCAAAGTAATTAATTTAGTACTATTTCTGTTAAACCTATTAAACTTTCATGTTTGCTTAAATTTTGAATTTGAATTTTTGCACAGGGTGTTTGTTCCCTAATCCTCTCTCTTAATACACATTTTAAAAATACTTTACAAGAAAAAAAACGGAAGTCAAAACCGTATGCGCAGTGGGAGTGACAAATTTTTTAAGGAAAAATAGAAACAAAAACGGTATAGAAATCAGTCGAATCTCAAGCAAGAAAGGCAAAAGACACATACTCAAAACCACTTTGATCACCTCATTTGACTTGGAAGTGTTTCTATTAATCCCATTTCAACTCTTTTCAAATTCTTCTGGCAATCAACTTCGCTTGAGTGTTTTCAGCTCGCTCAGCGTGATAATGATTCTCTATATTTCGATAACGGTTTTGTTTTGTTTTTCGCTTACACATTAATTTGTGATTCCTAATGTGCATATTTTTTATGACTTCAAGGACTTAAAAAAACATCAAGGGAGTTCATTACGGAATTTCTTGCTTACAATTTAAGATTCGTGTATCCAAATATAATTCTATGTAATAATGATATTTTTTAACTTGTCAATGACTTTTAATTATTTAATTTGCAAGTGCTCAATTAATTTTTTAACTGTAAGGCTTGAAAGTTTTTACAGTCTTTTAATCTAGGTATCGATCTATTCTGTACAAAATCCAAAATTTGTCAGAATCGGTTAAATTGTTTTTGAGAAGAAAAAAATTAAGTGACATCCATGAAAAGGAGAAACACAAATGCGAAATTAGCATTAAGAAACTTAAACTTTCGACTACTCCCCCTACTGAACTGTAGGGACCAAATTTTACAAATTGAGGCATGATTGAGGTCAAGCAGGTTTTTGTATCTGAAAATGAAACTTAAAATAACGACTACAAAAGAAAATAACCTATTTTAGGTTAGCTTTTAAGAATCTTAGTACTTGGTAATCTGTTCTTAAGATTAAAGGGTAAGGTGTTCCGTTTTATATTTTGCGTACTGTACATTATTACAAGATAACAGTGTAAAAATTGTATAGTAGCTTAAGAACTTAGGAGTATATTTAATTTATCTGTATAATTTATGTGTTTTTTTTGTTAAATAGTTTAAAAGGATATTATCTGAATATAATTAATTTTGAATTTTCTATTGTTAACTTACAAAATATAACTACTAGATTTTTTTTGGAAATATGATTTGCTCAGTATTATCTGTACAGGAAAAACAAGCGCATGAGAGGGATTAAAGGTTGATCTTATTTGAATCATAAACGGCATCACTTGCATTACTTTGCACATAAAAAAATAAAATTTAATGTAAATTCCAAACTGATCTGTGGAATTTTTTTTTATGCAAACACTTGAAAATTGTACATTGGAGTTGCTTTCATCAAAGCTAAATAAAAATGTTTCAAATACAAATGTTTTTTATGTAAATATTTCTTGTAAATACAACTCTTGTAAATAAACTTTCCTGTTATATAACCTCGGTCGATGTACTGTAAAATAATCCAGATCAAATTACGGTAAAAAATCTGCACTTTGGTTGCATTATCTGTAAACTCTATTTTACCCGTGAAATCCATTTTTACCGTAAAATATTATACTGTAACTTTTACAGTAGTATCCACTCAAGTAGAATGATACAGTGATCATATAATAATTATTACCGTAAAAATTACAATATGTCATATTTTTTGTTAAGTAACATTTTCCAGAGAAAATAGATTTTATGATAAAAAATAACGACACCCTGTGTGCTGATACTTTTTACCGTAATTTGATCAGGAATTTTTTACTGTGTATATTTTTAAAAACTTAAAGACATGGTTGTTGAAGTGTACTATACCAAAAAATATTAAGGGACAAAAGTTTTTATCAATTATTTATTACTGTATTTTTTGTGTTTTTTTTTTGTAAGAGAGCGATGAGAATTCTTCCACTTGCAAAGTGAACGGTGATTTAAAAATGGCTGGGAACCTTCACAATAACAATACTAAGCAACAATACGATTTGGGAACTATTTGGAAAAATGTGTGATGGAATAATTCAAGGACGAAAATGGAAAATTACCCCAAACTTTACTAATTTTAGTTAATAGTTCCGTTGTGCAAATTAAAGGATTTTGATAATGGTTTTAATAATTTACCTCCACTTTTCTGGATGATATCTTCAATTACTAGTATTACATTTTGTAAAGAGTCAGGATTAGAAATGTTTAGATTGTGAAAATGAATTGCGACTGAGATAATCTGTGAAACAGATGACATGACTTGCACTTGTCCATAGGTTCGAGCCTAAAAAGAAATTATGTATTCGCCATTATCTATTCCATCTAAAACAATTGCTCATTTTATCCCTTTTAATATTTATTTAACAATAACAAACGCGATAAAATGCAACATAATAAAATAAACTTTCTAACAAATACACTCCTGATTCGAGAGCATTTGTTTTGACAGTTTGATTTGATGACGTTTCATTAATGTGTTATAAAGTGAGCGCTCAAGAAGAGATTATGGTAGTATACAATGGTATTAATTTTTTACTTTATTATTGAACTCATACTTTACAACACCTTTTTACTAATTTTTTCTCTCTCATTTGAACGGCATGTTCATCAGAGGTACTTTGTTGATAAAGTTAACTTATAATCATTCTATATAACTCTCTCTTTGGACAAATATTTGTCATTTTAAAAAAACATTTATGATAAGGAATACTTTCTGTTCCATATTTAACTTTTGCTAATGTTTTAATGCTAAAAGTTAATTAGAATTTTTGACTATATAAAGTCAACAAAATTTAATTTATTTATTTAAACTAATGTTTAAACTATTTATTTATTACTAATAAAAATGTTTTTAAAACTAAACATTGTTATAAAAATATCCTATAAAATATTGCACGTTACTTCCAGTCAAACACAAGCTTAAAATGTATTACGTTCTAAATGTAAATTGCATTCCAAGACTACTTTTGTTGCAAAAACTGTTTCTTGCAAATAATTAGGAACACAATTATCCGATTTTGGCAGAAATAAAAAATGAATAAGGTGAGAGGCAATATTTCAACTTTTAAATAAACAAAACATTTTAAGCTTTGCAAAAAAATATTTGTTTGCAAAATTTATAATGTTTCATTAATAAAAATTGTTTCATATTAAAGTGTGAAAAAGTAAAATGTAAAAGATGAAATATCTTGCATTTAACGCTGTGAATTAATCCTTATGAAATTCTTGGCCATAGATGGCGCCACTGGAAAACAAGAACAATCGCACCCCTTTGCCTTATCAGGCATACGCAACAACAACAATTAATTCTTGTGAGACGAGATATCTCAAACGTTAGTAATAAATGTGTAAAATTAGGAGTAGGTAACTAAACTAAAATAAAAATAATAAATTAAGAAAAATAAAAATCTTTATAAATTAATAAAAAAAAACTTTGTTCTTACTTGGTCATGAGGTGTAGGTAAATACTTCCATAAGTACGTCGCCAGTTCTGAATCAGAAGGTATTGAGTCCCTCTGCTTTAAGTCTCCTAAATACATAACAATTCATTTGTATTTATTAGATACTAAAATGAACCAATAAACACAATAATAAAAACAGATATATATATATATAGAGAGAGAGAGAGAGAGTAACATTTTATGGGATATTATAAATATCCCATAAAATGTTACTGTCAAAGTATGAAATGCTGCCCCAGCAAAAATTTCTGTAATGTACTGAATGTAATGTAATATTGTAAAGAATTCTCAGTCATTGTATAGAACATTAAATTCTTGGAAAAGTTTGATGTATCAGAATAAATATCAGAGTAATACCTAAACGTAGTATGGAATGTCTTTTAATTGGTTATTCTATAGAATGCTTAGACAATATGTGAAATATTAATCGCTTCATAGTGTATGACGGCCGCTTCTAAGCACAACTCTATTTTTTATTGAATTAAGAAACATTTATATTTTAATTTTTTAAATTTATATACACCCACTGTTTCCAGATTCAACTTAAAATGAATACTAGTTAAACTGATACTGAAGTGCTATATATGAACAAGTAATGGTATACTACATGCCATAGTTTCTGTCGATGACCGTTATGAGTATCTAAATTATAGATCACTGCTCAATCGGAGAAAAGCAGGGCTGGGATAGCCAGGTTGGTAGGACGCTGGGTCCATGTCCAAGGGGTCGTGGGTTCGTTCCCCGCTGGTCGAAGACTCCCTGTGTAGTGAATGGTGACTGATGCACGGTAAATCTGTCGAGTCACAAAGTCTTCTATGTTCCCATAAAAAATCATTCCTCTGGGGGTACTGATCGAGGAGTTTTCTTGTCTTCTGGATTTGGTTTAAAATTACAAGGCTACGGAGTTGAACATTAGTAGTCGTACACCTAAAATTTTGTGGGATGTTCAACGACTGTTATAAATAAATAGATGAATAAATAAAATATAAAAAAAAATTGGAAAAAACAAATCTTATGAATCAGCTTTCAGCTTCAGGAATCACCTTTTAATTTCTCATAAAGAAATTTTCCCTTTATTTTCCCCAGTCATTCTTTAGTATATTTAAGCATGATAAATTTCATGCCCTCTTTTTGGATTTTTGCTGACTAGATATTCTATAGAATAATGGATTTCAGAAATTGACCAGCCATTTAAGGCATTCCATATAATGACTAGAAATTATGCAGAATGCGAGATTTCATATATTGGCGAGATTAATTAAAATTATTTTATGGAATGATTAGGTATATATCATCAATGTATGAAATTTTAGAATGTGAAATTTCATACTTTGATGATAATATAAATATTACAATTTCTAAGTTTGGAAACAAGTTTCTAAAATTAAAAGAAATACTTTCTTAAGCTGATGAATAAAAAATAATTGTTTTTAATATACAATTATTCACCAATTTTTCAATAATTACTTCAAAAAATTTAAAATCTATCTTTTTTTAAATTCTTATATTTTAAGATTATTTTGACTGTTTTAATAATTGTTACATAATATGTTTCTTGCTACTCCTTTGATTAGAAATCGTTTCGTGTTTGATCCTTAATTTAGTTAAATGGCTAATGTAGTTCCAACTACTTTAGTTTATTTTGTAATCATAGTTCCGTTCACATATTATCAAATCAAATAACTATTCTGTATTATATTTCTATGCTCCTTAAACAAATTATGGAACATTAAATGAAATAAACATCATACCAAACATGCCAGAAAGTGACGTGAGGCTTTGAACCACTTTCCCAGAATATACCTAAGTAGTATATAAACAATAAAAAACTGTGAAATAAACATGTATTATCAAAATTAAGAAAAAATCAAAAACTGAAGAACCTAAGTAATAAGAGTTAAGGGTATAAAATAATAGTAATAATAATAAATAAAGAAATTCGGAAATCTCTGAATATTGAGTTGAATATAAATTGATCTAATGATGGGATTTTAACGTGCTTAACAAAAAATAAAATAAACATACTTAGCCAAACTTTGTACTGTTGTCCTATCCAAAATATGGGAACCATATTTCTCCGATTGCGGCTTTCTCCTCTAGTTTGGGGGGGTCAGAAATTCGAATTCATCGAAAAAAGGTATGTTTATTAAGAGAAAGTACGCTTTGGTTTCTGGTTACGTAACTTAAAACATCATCTACACTAACTAATTAGAATATTTGAGGTCACCCTCGCAAATCATCAAGTCCTAAAACGTGAAGACTGGATCTTTAGATCAAAAGTCATTTTGGTTGATTAATTTTTTTAAATTTTGCGCACTGTTGAAAAAATAAAAACTGCTCTCATTTATTTTTTCCAGGTAACGCCCATTTTTATTGCCATCTTTATTGCCTGACTAAAAGACTACAAGTGTCTAATATATTCATGCTAGCAGATTAATCCACGGATTCACATGCCATAGCCCAATCTTGTCTTGCAGGTTCTAGATGTTGTAAAAGTTTAAAAATTACTAAAAGAATTTTTCCCGATTAATTTTATTTATAACAGTCAAACAATTTGAAACACTTAGGAATGTAATGTGAAATGTCAAAAACTTAAAATCTACAATTATGAGGGGCATCAAAAACATATTTGCTGAATGCAGACGAATTAAATAGTTTAAATCTGAATAAACTTCAGCAGATTTTGAAAATTTAATGTCGGACTAGGAGAATTGTTAGAAAAATTACATTATTAACCGAATGTTTGTCATGGTCAAAGGTAGAAATTAGTTAAACAGAGCTTACTTTAACATATTCATCTTGAAGAGTTTGAAACTTGTAGCTGTCAGATGAAGCTAGCTTCTCCCAGAATTTCGGAGATACAACTACTGCTCGTTGAATACAAATTGTTGACGCATGCAAAGACTCCTGAACGACATCTCCGACCAACACGTATCGTATTCTTTCTGCCCCAACAAAAAACATATTTACGTCACCAATAGAAATACCTGAAACAAATGATAGAACATTTTAGAAAAATGCCCAGGTCAAATTTTTATATCTAAACGGGTCTGGTTTTTACCGATCCTAAACGCAATAGTATCAAATATCTAGGAAGGTCTATTCTGATAGGACGAGCCAATCACATGATCTGATGCACAATTAAAAATAAAAATTCAGAGGTTTTCCTCATGAAATTAAGGAAAGATTATTTTTTATGCTTGGTTGAATCACTTTTAAAAATTATTATCATTATTATTATTTTTTGAAACTGATAATTGATCAAATTTACTTCGGTATTGGAAAGCGAATTTTATGCTTAAAGAGTGGGTACCTGTCTTTCTTAGAAGAGAAAGTACGTCTTTTGTTCCGACCAGGTTGCTCACTCACAAACCGAAGTAGCATATTCCTAAAAAATTGCTAAATTAAAAAAAAAAAAAAAAAAAAAAAAAAAAAAAAAAAAAGAACAAAATGTTGAACGTCACAAGCAGTTAACGTTTGTTGTCGCTTAATAGGGGAAAGTTAGTGACTTGAAATTTGGAGAGAAATGGATCGATTACAGAATTTTTTAGAGAAAAAGAGGTCGTAAACTTGTAAATAACAAATAATACAACGAAAATGATCAACACAGCAAGCCACACAATCCTCTCAAAAATGTTGTTTATATATAACATTTGTAGCAATGTAATGCAATGAAAGAACGTTTCGAAAAGTCACAAAAACTTTTTATTCCTCCTCTACACGTATAAATTGTTCTTTTATTAATTGTTAATATCTTTTATGCTTCTTTCCAAAAGGATTACATGCATGTTTCAGTTTGTTTTAAGGTCATGCAGATTAGGGGCAGAAAAAATTTTGTAAAAAAGCAAAGATTTAAAATGATCGTATGAAAATTTTTGATTTAATTGTTTCCTACTAAACATATTGCAGCTCACAATTCATTAGTTATGTGTTTCTTTCACATTACACTTTGGACTTTACACGTGCTCTCATCTCTTCTAGGAGGCTGACCCAAATCTTTGTACATGACTGCTTGTTGAACTTTTAGATTGGTAGAACTGTGGTGATGGCTCTGGAGTTAAGGCATTGAATTGCCATTGGGAAGAGCTGAGGTTCGATCCTTAGTTGCGTCTTGAAACTCGGCCATCTTTAGATCGATGGGTATCAGCTTATCTAGGAAGTAAAGGCGGCTCATGCGCATTGTTGGTACACTGCTACAGTCATGCCATTGGTCACAAAATTGTGAAGCCCTAATCTCCATGATCCCCCTGACCCCCAATGGATTATTGCAGGAATGCATTATTCTTTTTGCAATAGAAAAACCAACGTTAGCCACTAAAAAGTCAAAATTGAGGTTTCGAATATTTGAAATTCAGATTTCTAGACACTGGATATTTGGCATTTCTCTATGATAAGCTACTTATTTAAATTTTTTTTTCACATCAGTTTTGATCAGTTTTTTGAAATTAGATTTTAGCGGTTATTCTGTTAGCATTAAAAAGAAAATTGTTTCTAAGCCACTTTTCTCGAAATCTGTAGTAAAGTATTTGCTTTGTTTGTTCAAAGACATGGCATAGAAGAAAACCTGAGTACGCAAACTGATAAACACAATAGCAAGAGACCAGAATGACTTGAGGGATCGAGCCCTTATATTTGATTCAGGTTTCAATCAAGACAATGGAAAACATTGGATGAAGCAGCAGAAAGTGAATAGCTTCCAGTTTGACCACTGTTTGAATTCGCTGACCATGGTGCTGACACGAAGTAATATTAGTGGATGACAATAGGTCATGGATTACGCTGTAATAATTCCCAAATTAAATTTAAATAAAATGTATCGTCATTTTTTGCCGTAAAATTTTTAACGTAAAATTCTGATGTACTGTAGTCTTTACAGTAATAATTACCATAAAATTACTGAACCACTCTAATTAAATAAATATTACTGTAAAATATACGGTGAGAAACTTTGCGGCAGAAATGTATTCTACGGTAAAATTAACTTTACAGATGATGCACCCAGGGTGGCGGTATTTTTTACTGTAATTTAATCCGGAATTTGTTACAGTGTCGACTTATTATTTTAGAGTTAACAGTATAAGAGTTTCTTTCTTTTTCGTTTTCTGGTAACGAAACTGCGTTCAATATGGAGGCAAACCCTATTACATCCAACCAAGTTCTTGGTTAGGATATTCATCGATGGAGATTAAATAAATATGTTGCTAAGTATTTACTATTTAGTAGTTAAGTACTATTGTAAGTAAAATTGCACAAACCTATTAAGTTTGTTAAATTTCTTCCAAACTTAGTCTTGGTGTCATCATAGTTTTTCTGTATAAACAATGCTACATTTAAAACTCGTTTAGCAATATTTGCAGCGTTGTCGGGCTCTACAGTCCACATGCTTTGTAGGATTCCGTCTAACAGGAAAAGATGAAAAATACTAGTTGATGGTATTTATTTTAATACAAGTAATAAAAGAAATTTGTTGATGTTGTGATATTTGATTATGTTTGAAATTTTTGTGCTTACTAATTACGTTTTTACCTCTTCTATTTCAGATATTACGTATTTTTGACTTTTAATTTACTTACAAAAAAATTACTCTAACTTAATTTTTGACAAATATAACAGCAAGCTTGCTTCTTAGAAAGTCAAACTTAATTCGAGAATATGAAAAGTAATTTGCCGGTTATTTTGTAAGCCTAAAATTTAAATATAATAAAGTTTCTTTAACCTTTTAACGCAGAATTTCCATTTAACATAATTTTCAAAGTTTTTAAATTATTTTGTATTAATTTAGGTCAAAATAAATGAAAAATATTGTATTTAGAATTATAATAATGCATTGTAATGAAATACAGCATGAAAAACTGGTGTGAAACACCGTTAAAGGTAAAATTTCCAAATAAAATTTTTTTTCTTTCGAATTTGCAGGGATTAAGATTTAAATAGAGATGTAGTTATTCATCATTGAAATTTCTTTAATTAATAAAATCAATTATTAACAATATACGGGATTTAAACCAACTAATTCGTAATTTTTTCGTTCGCAACGAAAGGTTGTCCCAGGAATTCTGGTTTTTAAAAGTATTTTTTTTATTACCACACAGTTTGTGAAAAATACAAAACTGAGAAATAAATGGTTTCGTGCCATGCTGCAAGGTATCATGATAAAATGAGCAAATTTCACCGTATTTGCACTTACCATATTATAAAGTCATATTTTATTGTGGATTTTATAAAAATCATTAACAAAGCGAGTCGGTAAAAAAAGTACTGAGCTTTTTGCTTTTCCCATAGAGCCAGAAAAACATGGTAAGTTTTACCATATTCTGGTAATTTGACCATTCTTATTTTTCAGTGAGTCAGCAAATATACAATTAGAGATATAAAAGATGACAAGAACTACATTAAAACTTAAAATGGGACTACAAGTAAATAATAAAATAATATAATTAAATTATTGGACATATTATATCAACAAAAATTAAATTAAATTTAAATTTAAATTATAAAAATTTAATTTAAAGTATCATTCATAAGAAATAGTTCACCAAGAAAGAAAATATTGAAGATTCATATGATTATTTAAGCCCTATAACTAATTGATGCATGATAAAAGTAAACATAGTGCAACAGAAATAATTTGTTATTTTTACCTATTTTTTCTATACAAATATCAAAATTTACCTTCAAATTGTATAACATCACCTCCTCCAGTTTTAATACCTATAAAATATTTGTATGAATAAATTATTTAACAAGAGCTTATTCGCTTTGTGTTTTCATAAATTGAAAACAATTGCGTCAACTACATATTTATTCTCTTTTAATTTTGAAGAAAAATATTTATAAGTATTAATAATATTTTGGTACTTACAATTTATTAGGTTGGTTACATGTAAATCCAATTCTTCTGCTACTTGTTCAGCGGAATAAGTTATGCTAACAGAATAATAATCAATAATTTCAACTACAACTAAAATTGAAAACAAAATATTAGCTCTAGAAAAATAAAACTGAAATGAAAAGTTGTGAGAAAGAAACTCTGACTCTAAAATACATATCTTTAAACTATGAATTTAAACTTTTTAGGTGCATACAGAGTAGCGAAAGCAATGTTAAGTTACGATAACAAGTTTTAAAAAATGATTAACTAAACGATTAACAGGTTTTAAAAAACAATAAGCGACTATTTTTATTTAATTGAATAAAAGAATATAAATAGAACTAAGTCATATGTTTACTGTAATGTAAAATTAAGTTTTTTTAATGTATAATGCTGAACGTGAAGACGAATCATGAAAATGTCTCATTTTTCCTTATTATGAATTCAATCGATTATACGAAATTTGGAATTTGTTATTAACAATTATACAGTTTAAAATTCAGCGCATAGTTGTATTTCAAAATATATATGCATAATTTATAGCCGTTGTTTGTTTCAACCGTTATAAAACTGAATAATTAAAAAATAATAAACAATCTTTTAATGTGATATTTCATATGGAACTATATTTGGATCAACGAGTTTACATTCGAGAAAGAAAAAAGTTTTGAACCTAAACAGGTTTAGAAAAATGCGTACAAAATATAAAAAAAAGTAATAAGATTTAAGCTTTTTTAATTTCAACTGCTCCCTTGACTGAACTAATAGAACCATATATTGTAGGTAGATTGCGATTACCTTCTTATTTTGAAAGTTTCAAATCCAAATCTGTAAAAAATAATGATACTTCCAAAAAGTTTATTTTTTATTTGTAAACAATAATATCATTTGTACTAATTAATTGGTCTATTAAAGGCTTATCCCTTGAACCATTAAATTGCACGTTTAGTACCGGAAACTTCAATAATTAAAAAAAAATATTTTAGGATATTCCGTTTCATAAGCATGCGCAGTGTAATGTAAAATTAAGTTTTTTTAATGTATAATGCTGAACGTGAAGACGAATCATGAAAATGTTATATTATGAAACTATGAAATAAATTTTAAAAGTTACTCGAGAATAAATTATACATAAATGTTATTCAATTGAAAATAAACGGATACATTTTGTTTTTCCATACTACTCTGCAATAATTACAAGGGTGAATAAGTACAAGGAGCTTTTAAAGTTAAGACAATGTGCTATTGAATTAATTTCCTATAAAACTATAATTTAAATAAGAATAATTAGATACAATACACAGAAAAGTAATGACTATGGAATAAGTTTCATAATATAAGTGTAATTTATCTGTAAGCAATTGATGAAATTTCCTTCCTACATTGTTTTACTACCATTACCACATAGTAGGAAAACTATTTCTACACAGTTTTCCTACCATTTCGAAATAAATACTACAGAAGATAAGCAACTTGTGGTTAAAATTAAGCTACTATACTATAGAATAAATTGTTATAAAATACAAATCAGAAAATAACTCAACTTGGCCAATTTCAGGCTCAACAAATGTAACAATACTAAAAAGGAGAATATGTTAATTTATCTCATTTTTATTGTCAGGTTAAATTTGCTTAATTTAAACTGCATATTTTGCAGTTCAAATTTACGTAATATGCATTGAAAAAAAAATTCCCAAGGCGACTCAGGATGATAGTTCTTTTTACTGTAAATCCAATATTCACGTTAAAAAGTTTTAGTCTGGAAAATAACAATGAATGAATATAAAAAGTATAAGTGAAAAACCATTCATTCACTGCAAAAAAAGCTATTTCATATACCTGTACAGTCCCCTTACCCATTGTGCACAGTTTTAAAATCAGGTAAAACACGGTAAAAAACTGATCGTGACGTTATAATGGATGCGAGGCAAGCTATCATCGCCGTGAGTACTGCAGAGACTATATTTACAGCTTATAATTGCGTAATACCTGGTATCTCGATTGTTAAAATAATGCCGAGACAATATTTACAGCTTATAATTGAGAAACACTTGGTATCTCGATTGTTAAAATAATGCAGAGACAATATTTACGGCTTATAATTGCGTAATACCTGGTATCTCGATTGTTAAAATAATGCCGAGACAATATTTACAGCTAATAATTGAGAAATACCTGGTATCTCGATTGTTAAAATAATGGCAAAGAAGGTCAAAGTGTGCGGGCCGTCTTTTCCATCTAGCGGTCCTAGTTTTTCTTCTTCTGCAGCCTTTCTCACACAGTCAGGTACGAAGCAGGCTGATCCAATAGCTAAACATTCCATGGCATCTATAAACAATGTGTAAAAAATCATGATTTGCTATCACAATCTATTTACTTTTAACAAACTTAACACTTTTTAACAGATAAGTAATTAAACATTAAATAAATGTGGTAAGTTGAAAATAAAATCCGCCGTAATTTTGGAAAACTAAAACCGTAGTGGAGAAAGTTAGTAATACGGGAAATAAGTGGCATTTTTGCTTCTTGTCCAGCTATTTATTTTCATTTTAGTCTAAATTTTCGTTTATTTTTTTAATTTGAAATTCCTCAATCACACTTACTAAAGTAACCGTAAACAGTAAACTAAAATAAAATAATGTTGATTATCACCTTATCTAGCAATATATCTGGGCAACACTATATACCACTGAATTAAAATAAGTAGTATTCAAGGGGATCATCTTTAATTGAAGAACCTGCAACGATCTTTAATAAAAGAAAAATATAGATTTACTGTTTCGACAATTTTATAGGTAAATAATGCTCGCAAAGAATAATAATTTGAGTATTTTTCCAATCTAAGGAAGTAGAATTTAGTTTATTATGGTCAACATCAATCAGGATTAAAATTAATATTTCGGAGAAAAAAATTCTGAGAAATGATATTTATCTTAACAATGAGGAGAATACAAAACTGAAATATTAAAAAACAATAGCGGTTGTAATAATTTGGTTCCTAAATGTCGTTACATAATGAGTGACTACGTTGGAATAAGAATTTAATGAAAAGTTCTGAAATTAATAAAATAACAGTATCAGAATTAGAATCTGTACACAAATCTTTGTGACAGCTATGAATAAGTGTAAATTATTTCAATTAAAATAATATTACCTTACGCAATATATCAGGGCAACACTACATACCACTGAATTAAAATAAAAAATATCTGATTAGTTTATCAATAGTTGAAAAATATACAACGATCTTTACTAAAGGAATAAATTGACTATTTCGACACTTTTATAAGTAATTGATGACCTAAAATAGTAATTTGAGTATTTTTCCATACTTAGGAAGTTGAATTTAGTTTATTAATGTCAACATCAACCAGGATTTAAATTAATTTTTACGAGAAAAGAAAATTCTTAGAAAAGCTATTTATCTTAGCAATGAGGGAAATACAAAACTAAAATATTTATTTACAATAGCGGCTATAGTAATTTGGTTTGGTTTCACTGTATAATGAGTGACTACGTTAGAGTAAGAATTTTATAAAAAGTTCTGAAATTAATATAATAATAGTATCAGAATAATACTAATAAAATTATAGTATCAGAATCCGTACACAAATTTCAGTGACGGATGAGAATGAATGTAAATTGTTTCATTGGTAATGAATTGCTTCATTTCTTCAACGGGTGGCGAAAGTTAAGAAATGCATGCTCATTTCACTCAAAACCGGCAGGAGCAGATAAAATTTTAGATATCGGATGTTAAAGAGAAGATAATTGTTTCTCCCCTGGATGTGACAAATTTAAAAAAGCCACACTTAGAAATTATGATATATTACAAAAAAATGAATGTCAGTGCGGGGAATATCGGTTAAGGTTTCAGCGAGTAGTGACCTTTAACCTTAAAAAACATTAGTACAAAAAATACCATGCAATGACCTACACATCACTATCGAGGTATTAATCCAGTCAATCTGGTTATTTTAATGATATCCACAATTTTGGCAAATTTCTTAAAAATTCAAACCTACACATTAATAACGTTGTCCTGACGTTTCAATGTTTCGGGCCGTTGTTTGGTAAATGCATGTGAGATATACATTACATTGATGTTTGTTAATATTTACAGCCATTACCCGTGACACACATTGTATTTGGTATTTATACATTAATATAAAAATATAAGCTTGAATTTTTTCCTTTTAAAGGAATGAAGAATTTGCTGTCATGGGAGAAGAGTTTTCTTTAGTTTTATAACTAACCTAATTCTGAGTTTACGACCATCAATGAACTTCGTAGTCTTGTAATTCTGAACCCAACTCAGAAGGCAAGGGAACAACTGGATAAAACATTAGGACAAACTAGCTTTCATAGATGATTTCACGTCATTATAATTTACTCAGCACTGAGAATGGTGCGAGCCGGGAGCAGAATCTTCGCAAGCCGGCCACCGCTGGGATTCGAACCCGGGAAACCTCATTGGGATTCAAACGATTTATATGGTGCTGGTTTCTAAATAATGCAAAACCGATACATACAACCAGTTTTATTTTAGTTGTCGGTCATTTTCATCTCTTCGGTCAAAAAATTACGTGACATGATCGACAATAACCAAAAGAATTTAGCTTGCCATTAGCATAAAATTATTAATAATTATCGCACTATTTACCAGATAATTTCATATTTTGATTGAAAGGTATTTTACTTTTATATTAAATATTATCCTAATTTCATATTTTCGCCTTTTGTGTTTTTTTGTTAACTTATACAGTGATATTTTCAGATAAATATTACCATAATATAAAAGTGGTATTTTATGAAAAGATTTATAAAGTATTTTATGGTTACTAAAGACCCTAATATAATGAGCACCACAAATAAATCAAATATTTAAAAATTCTATTAAATTGTATTTTAACCACATTTTAATTGAAAATACAGTTAAAAACATACAAAATAAATTTACAGTGCAGAAAAAAAAATAATTGAAACACTTTGAATAACTTTTGATACATACTAGGACTTAATGGTTCGAGGGTTGACCTCAAGCATGCTACTTAGCTAGTGCAGACAATAAAGTTACGAAATTGGATACGCACGTATTTTCTTTGAAAAAACATACTTTTTTACGATTGATTCGAATTTCTGATAGCAGAAATATAGGTGGTAGCCACAATCATAGAAATATGGACCCAATAGTTTGATTTGGAGAGTGGACGAAAGTTTGAACTTTTTATTTCAAATTTAACTTCTTGCATATGTTGCCATGTCTCGAGAACTTTTAAACCAAATTGAAATTTTTTCCCAAAATTACAAAACTCGTTTATCAAATATAATTCCATGCAAAAATAAATTTTTAATAATTATTTATTGCATTAATTTTTTTATTTAATAATGGTGGAAGAAGTTTTGAACTTTAAAGTGTACACTTTTATTAATTATTTTAAATAATGTAATAATATATTATAAAAAAAAATGAGTGAAATAGGTTGAATAGATTCTGATAAATCGAATTTTAAATACCCGACTTTTGACTTTTTTATCTGTCACCCTGGATAACTTTTGATCATTGGATCAAAAGTTATTTAGAGTATCTAATTAAAAACTTTTTTTGCACTCAACACAAACAGATGTATGCTCCTTTATTTCTTTTAGTGAAGTTTTTGTTAATAAAGCAAATTGAGAATTGTCCAGGGGAGCTGAAAATATATTGAGACGAAATAGGTTGCTTCCAAATTACATGCATTAAATAAAATTCATTATGATTTATTGTTTTTTACTATAGACAGATATCGGCAAAATATAGCATGGAAATAATTTACATGATAAAATTATTGAAGTGAAGATTTAAGCTCACCAGAAGATGTTTTCGGTAAATCTGTCAAAGAATTTTTGGACGCACCACCTCGGCAACAATCGCAGCAAACTTTCTTTAATCCTAAGAAGTCTAGAATAAAAAAAAATAATTGTGCAGGACAAACAAATCACTCTTAATAAAAACAAGTTATAAAGGGATTTTTGGATACCTACTGATTTAAAATATTTAGTGAATAATTAATCTTAACTTTTGAAATTGTAAGGGTACCCGAAAACGTATATTTATTCTGAAAAATTAGATATAATTTTATAGATTGAATATTACTATTCTAGCAAGCATAAAAATGGCTATCGAATTTGGACTATTTCGACAC